AAGAAGAAATCGAGCTGATAACCTTTGCTCAGCCATAGCAAATTACTTTCTGCTCAGTCCATCTCGACAACAAGAACAAGTCCTAGTCCGTTCTCCTGAGCAAACAGATGATTCCTTGTCTCTTCGATTCGTCGTTCTGTCTTGGAATCCCTGCGGTATGCTCTTGCGACTGACAGTTGCAGTTCCTATTCTATTCCTATGGACAGGTATAGATCGGGGACTATTTCTTGTAGTGGCTAACAGCGTCTCGGTGGGCGAAACAAGAAAACTCGATACTTCGAATTTTCTGTTGTTGTTTTGGTCTTGGTTGTTGTTGGTTGATTGGCGTTTTGGATAGTGACTCCTCTTAGGAACATACCAGGGTATACGTGGAATACGAATTCTCTGAATCGCAATCACGTGCGTATTGGTGGATATCTGTTGATCCAACTTTGGCTTCAAGGAACTTGCTTGTAATGTTAATTAGCTTTATAATGTGGTGCTTATCAGGTCTTTTGTTTTGTTTCTTTATTACATCTTGGTGACAGAATCAGTGGCGGAGTCCTGATGCTCCGCTTGAAAAGGGTTAACTCAAGTAGAGTGAGGTCCGCCTAGTCCAATATAAAGGTAGGCAACAGACTGAAAGTAGTTTGCCTCATTGTTAGATTTAGAGCTTACTGGAAAGGGGGTTTTAGAGTAGGAAAATTAGCTACGAAAGCCAGCCGGGCCAGTTAGCAAGAACAGCGAATTCAGACTATTCTGTAGGATCAGGGGCGAAAATTGAGACCATTACGGGGGCAAAGGGTTTGGCTTGCGGGATCCACGAAGACATAAATGGGTAGTTTCACAAGGGCAATAGAAACGGGTTGCATGAAGAACATCTTTTGAGAGTAGGAAAATTGAGTTTTGAGGCAGTAGCAGAGAAGGCGTTTTAAGAAGTCTTGGCTTGAGGGCAAGCATGCCATCACTGAAAAACAAAGGGTGGAAGGAAGCGCGATGGAGTCGCACGTCTTATATTGGAAATTTTGTCGCTTCTTGTTGGTTAAAACTTGACGGGTTTTTGTTGCGGTAAGAGGCACAGTCCAAATCAGTGACACGTACGTCAATAATAGCTGTAGTACTCGTTCAACAAGCCGCGAATGGATAGATCACCACGTAAGAGCTCGGGGCTGGGGGGGAGAGAGGAGGGGGAGGAAGGGGTAAGGTAGAAATTGGTGACCGGCAGGGATAGTAGGGGCGGGAACAGATGGAAGGGTTGGTTCTGATGGACGCTAGAGGAACCAAAGCATTCACATGCAATAGAACCAAGTTCATTCGGATTTCATTGTGGCGACGGATGATTAAGCCGCCGGTTTGCAATCCAGAGCATGTGGAACCTGAAGGGACCAGTACAGCCATCACAAAGAGCTGGAAGAGCTGGGGGGTAAGACCGAATCGGAGAAAAGAGCATCACGCCATTCTTGAGCAGAGAGGTGAGTGCGTTTGGCAATATCGGGCATGACTGCAAGCCAGGAGCCAGTGCAACAGACTGCGATTGAGGCGGGCTGCTCAGCCGGAGTGAGAGTGGCTTGAGGGTCTCGAAAGCCGCTTGGTAGGTGTCTTGATGGCGTTTTGTGGCACTGATACGACCTTCTGTGAGGGATGTGCGATGGTCTTCAATTCTGAAGGATGACGTGGGGGCTCAATGAGGGGGTGGCAGGGTCGTGGAGGGGGCTAGGGGGGATGGGAATTAAGGGCAAGGGGCAAGAAGGGATCGGGTAATTTCCGAAGTAATTTCGCGACTGGCAATGTAGCGGAGGGGGGCTTCCGTAATGGGGTTGGGGAGAGAAAGGCCAGCAAACTTGTATGGGAGGGAAGTGAGAGCTCAGGGGGGGGGGGGGGGCAGTTCGCTTGAATGAAGGTTCCATAAAGCGGGAAGAAGCTCAAAATCCAGAGCATTTTCCAAGGGAAGCCAAGAGTCCGAGGGGACACAACAGACACCTTGTAATGTTGAATCAGGATCACGTCCACAAGTGAAACGGCCAATAACTCGAAGCAAGCAAGGTAGCGACCAACACAACTGAGGTAGTTATAAGGAAGACCATACAGAGACAGAAAGAGGATCTAACGACGCATATGAAGTAATTAGATCTAACGAGAGCGCTCAGTTCCAGATATCCATCGAGAAACCACCCATCGAGTCAGAGCGCATTTTCGCGACGTGAACCAAGAAGCCCCGACAGTACTCGGAGCACTGAATCTTCACCGGGGGCGACTTTCAGCGTATGATACTCACTCACTGACTCTATCTAACACCAATGCAGATATACAACAAGCGAAAGGTTTCGAGAGGCCGACAGAGCAAGTTCGGTAGTACCCTCAAGGCCAAAACGGTGGTCTCGTGAGAGCCACAGAGCCACGATTTGACCACGGGAACAGTTCTAGTCAAGGAACAAGCCAAGTTTAAGGCAGGAGCAGTCACAGGAGTGATAAATAGCCCCACCAGAGGCTGCCTGATCATCAATAGGAAAAGAAGAGGAACCCCTCACCTCCTCTCTTCTATCCTTGGATCAAGACTCTCTTTGGGTGCAAAGTGGGCTCTGGAAACAAGAACGCCTGCCTTTCCAACCGACAAGTTCAGGTCATCGCCCCTGTGGAAGAAGAAAATGAACGTTCCTTGGAGGTCGGACGAGGAGGCCAATCAAAGAGTCGAGTCGAATCGAATGATTCAATCATTGGACAATGAATCAGAGGATGATGACACTTGGTTCTGCCGTGGCTGTGCCCGAGGAGGAAGAAAATAAACGACCCAGGGCAAGATCCCCCCTGTTTGTAGCTACTTTGGTTCCCACAGAACCAGAGCAATCCTCAAAACAGACTTTCTGTCTTTCTTCCGGAACCACCATGTCTCGTGCGAACAGCCGTGGCCAAAGGTCTTCCATTACGATTATTTTTCGATAAGGAAAGATCGTGGAGATGTACTGGTCTCCCCAAATTCGTTCATGTTACAAAATTTGATCTCGGAGCATTCTTGAACTTGTGCAGCACAGTCAATGAAGTAGGGAAAACCCTGAGGTACATGTAGAAGTGAGAGATGTGCATTCACAACCGCGATGTCAGAACTATGCAAAGATCGTTTAGAAGGATATCTCCATGACGCGATTGGCCGTTTGGTGCTTCGACTACGTACGGTACGTCTTCTGCCGGAACAGCCACCTGATAAAAAAACGCCTGTAGACCTCCAACTACTCGTACTGCCATGGAACGATGTCTTTGCACTTGCCGTTTCCCCCGTGACAAGCACCGCCTCCAGAGGGGTACTTGAAGATCTTCCGGCGGAGTGTCGTTGTGAGTGGCCGCGGTCTCCTCAACCTCCTCGCCTCCTTCGCTTGCGAGCCCACCTGGCATTGCATAAGCTCCAGGAGCACCATCTTCGGCCTGATTCGATTCAGCACCTCGCCAGAGATTTCGCTGTCTTGCAGTGTCTTTTCTACCCCTGTATCATTATTGGACGCCTGGTTGGTTGTTTCTTCTTGTTCACATCACTAAGAAACGTCCTGAGCTGACGAAGTTTGTTCCTCTTCTCTTGCTCTGACGCCGACTCCCACCTTTTGTACGCCCGAAGAAAGAGGCACCTCTTCAGCCACCAAAACTTCGTCATCGCCATCGGTGTCTCTTGGAGCCAGGATCTCACTAAGAAGCTTTTCCTCATCCACGTCCTCGTCTTCCGTCATCGTTGAGATGTATGGAGCATCATTCTGTTTGGTTTTGGTGCAGCGTGAATGAAGCCTCGCAGCAGCTCGCAGGCAGGTTGCCGGACATTGTGCGTATTCGTACCGGTACTGTACCGATACCTACCAGTTCTAGATGGTATGGTACCGTACTACGGGTAGCGGTGTAGCGGTACCGTACTTTTGAAGGAAACAGTTACATCCATTCTTCCCGTTCACAACGAAAGGGTGAAAACTTTTTCACATGGTCATGTTCTTTTGTTGCGTTGTAAGTTGGCAAAAGTCACGGCAACGCCATTGTTGTGGAGAGGTTAAGAATTGGGCATGGGAAATTCAATCAGTGATCCCGGTAGCCTTTCCGGGTATGGTACCTTTACACTACCGGTACGGTTCGCACCCCCAACCGGGCGTGATCCTCTAAATTCGGTTTCAAGATCACCCATTTTCTGGAGAATAAAGACTTCTAGAAGATAATGCAAAAGCTGCATCATTGGCTATGCTGCCGCAAGTTGACTAAGCATAATCTAAAGGTTACTACAAAAGTCGCCCGTGCCCGAGAAACAGGAAGTGTGTAACGGAAAGGCCCCAGTCATCCGCAAATGCCGTGGCGCCCCCAGCCCTTCGATGGCGTGATGGGCCCATTGTTGATATCCTTGCTCATGAATGACGATTGCTTGATTCCTCTCCCTTTTATGCAAGCAGCGCCAAAAATGTAACTTTGAAACAGTGCTTCCAGGGCTTCCTCTTCAGCTAAACCCAAATGTCACTATCACTGCTGTTGTCATGGTTTGAAGGTTGGGGTACCACCCCAAACATGCCAGCGGACGGTGGAGTTCTCGAGGTTCTGTCGTCGTGGCCGGAGTGTGATGCTTCAGAAGTATGGTTGCTGCTCCCAACGTTGGGGGAAGGATTTGGCATTCCCACACTGAAGTCGTACTCATCTTGAAACCTTTCTGAGTAATCGCCACTAAGGGCACTTTGATCTCGTGATGCTGTGACCTGCAACCAGAATGTGGTAAGGGTTCCCTTCCCCTTAGCTTCCACTTTGTCTTCACGAGGCACAATCCAATGTCCCTTGCCAAACTTGACTAGTTCATCGGCAAACTGCTCTGACATATGAATCCGGCTACCCTCGCCAGTTGACTCAATTCTGGCAGTGGTGTTCACTAAAAGGGAACAGGTGACAGCAAAAAGAAGAGGGAATAGGTAAGTAAACCGAGAACTCAAGTGGATGCCTGATAAACCCGATGCAGCATGAGCATACCTGTATCCCCAAAGAGCTGGAATCGAGCCTACCCATACATCAACAATGATGGAAACGATATTGTTAGATACATTTTTTGCAGTTCAAATTTGTGATTGAATCATTCCGCAGTCTTGCAGCCTTACCCTCTCTCCACGCAATACACCAGCCTTCGTGAAGACAAAACCAAAGAGTGGAACCATCTGGAATTAGGCAGGGCGCAAAAGATCTAACAGACTCGAACAACAAACTTACAGTCACCGGGCCACTGTGGAGGCCAGTGCGAAGCTCCAGTTTTGCTGTCCCTGGAAGATCTACATCCAACATAGTGACCAATTCCCGGAATTTTTCTAGGCAATCCTGCGCAAATCGTGCCATGACAACAGCATGGTTATCTCGTGGACCTGAGGAGAGACGTTGAGGGTGAACACTGTTAGGTGCAAGATTGATGGACGAGGGCCCGTGTATCTGTTACTCAAGTCAACTCACGGGGAACTACAAGAGAATGGGCAATCAAGGAGAAAAAGTAAGAACACAGTCAAGTGTTCAATCATCCAGAGAAGGTGTATCGAACACTTACGGCCACAGACAGCCACATAACAATCCCCAATTGTCTCTGTGAAAATTGATTGAACCATTGAACAGTGACATGAGTTAGGCTGGTCATAGCGTCACACGTGGACATGTACCGCACCCAAAGCAACTCACCGATTTTGAAGACTTTTCGTATTTTCGCAATGGCATCCATTTCATGGTAGATCTGTTCAAGTGAAGCATGTGAGGCTTAAGCCATGTCATGTCATAGACACTTATGCTGCCCCATGTAACTTACCGTTTCGAGGAGCGTAAAGACATCCGATGGCTGCCTGCTTGATGACCATGCAGTGAAACCTTTTTAACAAAATCACGATACAACCACCACCACTGTTAGAAACACATCTCCAATCAACATGATTTGTGCAGTGAGACCACCTTACCTTTGATGTCGGCAAACATGATAGTTGCAGATGGAAATAGTTCCGCAAGAGGTTTATCTTGCCGTTGAGCATCAGCTTGCCACTCATCTTTCCCCTGTTCTTCCATAAGCTTTTGTCCTACATGTTCTGGAAACAGGGAGGTCACAACTGCCTCGGCCCTAACCTTTTCCTTTGCGATCTGGACTTGCTGTCTGTGAAGGTAACAGTCATACAAAAAGAAAGCCAGGCTACCAGTCAAGCACATAGCCAGAACCAAGCCAGCCCAAAGAAGGGGCTTATTTGTCAAGTATGCCTCAGCAAAAACTTCGGCGGGACTAATGACAAGATCAAAGTGACAGTGGCGGGAGGTTCCCTTGGCATGGTTCTTCCAGAAAAACCGAAAACGTTGTTCCAGATACTGGTACGTAGTCTCCTTGGCCGTGCCATTGTATTGACTAAGGTTGCTGTCATCGCCATTTCCTCCATTGACCACATACGTGAAACGTTTGCCACAGTCAGACTCAATGTTCACCACGATGCCATTAGTGCCTTCAGGGAGAAAGTCTCGAAAAAAAGCATTCCACTGAATGATCCCGATCACATAGCCCACAGTGATAGACTCCTTGCCAAAGCCTGCCCTAATTGGGTCCAGAGTAAAGCTTCGGGGTTCCGAATAGTCAACCTCTTCCGACAACAGAGGCTGGACATGTTTTAGGAAAAAACTGAGGTCTTCCAATTCAGAGATGACAGGGACATCATACTCCAGAGAAGCAACGATTTCCTTCTTGAAGATTGGGTGCGTGAAGAGATCCATCATCACGATCGAGGTATCATTGAGTCTCGGCCCAATCTGAGCCACTGGAACACTGGATCCCTCTGTCTTGTTTGCTGCCACTGTGTGGTTGGCAACAATTTCTTCCATGAAGCCTGTATTCACATAGCCTCTCCTTGTATCATTGTAGCCCTCTGGTAGAGGATAGTTGTGGATTTGGCGAGGAATGGCCTTCAGATGAGATGTGTTCCATCCGCGTTCAATCTACACATTGTAGTACGGAGAAAGAAGTGAGTTCTCGAGGCCCGTCCGTGGTCAAGCAAACAAGCACGGATCATCCTCGTTCGATTCGTTTACTTACATACCCATCCAGGATCCATTCCTGGTTCAGGAGTTGGTACTCCTCCCAGGCCCTTTGTTCTGCACGAGGAACAAAGGGTGCAAACATGAGCAGCTCAATTTTGGTCAAGTTGGCAATCTCCTCGACACGCAAGTCAAAGTCAGGGATGGAAACCTCATGGAGATACTGCTGCGGATTCTGAGCAATCCCCGACCTAACGGAGGATGCCAGACTCTGGAGCTGCCCAAATACATTCTCTGCGTGCATCTCAGCAACCCCCGCAGTTTCTCTAGTGAAGATCTCAAAGGCAGTCTCAAACTGGATCCGTTCCGTGGCGCTTAGCATGAAGTAGGTCATCAAAACCAAAGCGGTAGTCCCCAAGAGCTGGGCTGCGACGATAACCTGCCCAGTCACCAAAGACGATGATCACGGCCAAAAATACATAACATCAGTCAGTACCGTACTGCACCGCATCGCATCGCATCACATCACATCGAACAGGCATCCATACATATTATAACCAATTGGATTGGGGAAACAGGCGGAAACTTACGCTAATGTTTCTTCGATGCTCGCGGACGCGTGCAGCCACCGCATCACCGCTGTGCTTTGAATTCTCGGAAACGTCGTCCATATCCAACTCTTGGCTATCCATACTATTGGCTTGCATCATTCGTTCGCTCGACGGTTTAAGGTGGAAAGATTGTTGTGGTCTGTTGCAATTTTAAAATGGAGGGCTACTACTCGAGTAGAGATGGTTGGATGGAAGGGTGGTGGAACATTTGCTGGAGGTGGTGGTGGTGGACGATACAGTACTAGCTACAAGTGGACTACCACAGTCATTCCGGTATTTCCTTGGTTGAAGCCAAAACCGCGCCATGGGATCACGGAACACTCGGTCTGGACACAGGCCGAAACGGCCTTCCAGAGAGCACAAGAAGCTTCAAGTTACAAGGGAGTCTGAGTAAACAATACTCCGAGTAGAGTACGGTACGGTAGCTACTGTATGAAAACTCCCAGTATTAAAGCAGCAGTACCGGTACTGCAGTAGTACGGTACTTAAGTAAATGTACATGTACAGCACCAGTAGTTTAAGTTTTGACTCTTGTACTCGAGTGCGATAGTCACAGTCTTGGATTTATGAGTTTCTTGGTTGCTGCTTCTTTCCAGGAACAGCATACAGTGTTTCAGTACATGTAGTGCGAGGAGTACATCGTACCTGGGAGATGGGAAAATGGCTGCTTTCATGGAGACAATGTGGCTCCAGTTTCGAAAGTTGATATTCGTCTAGCTAGCTGTAGTCTACTGTACTAGCTAGCTAGCTAGTAGTCTACTAGCTACATCTAGCTAGCTAGCTGGAGAAGCTAGCTTGGAGGATTGGTTCCCTTGTTTGGCAACCACAACCCAACCTTCTCGTGAAAGAGTTGTTAGGGAGGGGCCATGGGAAGCAAGCAGCTCGGTCGTCAACAAAGTGTTACCGGTATGGAACGGCACACGCCAGAGGAGAAGAACTCTGCATGTTGAGGTGCGCTGCATCTCGTACATGGCTTTGCTTACACTCTACGGTACCGGTACGGTACTTCATTGGATACCTAGCTAGCTAGCTAGAAATGGATGATCAGTATTGCCTGCCGTTTTGTCTAGCCAACAACCGTACTACTATTAGCTAGTACTGGTAGGTACGTTCTCCTGGCTTTCCAACTGCTTCACAGGCAAGACTCTGCTCCTTTGGAGAGCAGTCCACCGTTTCCTGAACTATGTAATCAATCATGATCTCTCCCATTTGGTCACTTGGCTACTGATTTATGTAGTAGCCTGTTACTTTATTAGTTAGTAGTTGGTCAAGAAGAGCTATAATAGTATACCAAGCTCGCTGCTGCAAGTCCAACCTAACGAGGAAGGGAGATTGATTCGGTTGCTTGTTGGCTGCTTCTTGTCTATTTGTTCTACAAATGAAAATCTCCACCTCGCTTGCGCCTGGCTTTAATAGCGGCATATTGTTCCTGTACTTGGAGTCTCATTTGTTCCAGATTGGCTTGTTCCGCCTTGACATTCAACGCGTTTTTGTTGTTGTCTTTGTTGTTGTGTGCCTTCTTTTTGGTGGTGGCTCCTCGTGGCAGCGATTGAAACGTGGGTGGTCGTTCCACTTGATGTCCAAAGGGAATGTGATCCTCTCGTTGTATGTCATGATCGTCATGATCATTATCATTGTCGAAGGATTGTTGTTGCTGTTGTTGTTGTTTTCGTTTCTTTCGTTTCTTTTTATTGTTTAGAAATTCCTTTTTTCGTTTCTTCTTTTCGGGATTCAACGTGTCGAGTGTCTGTTGCTTGATGATTTGTCGTGTTTCTGCCTTGACGCGTTTGCTAAAGGCATTTTTGGATTCTCCTTCGCGTCGTCCTTCATACTGTTTTTGTTGGTCGGTTGTAGTAGCGTGCTGTTTGAGCAACTTTTCGGCCTCTTTCATTTCGTCCAATGGATTATTGACTACTCTGGTGACACCCGAAAGAGTTTCCATGGATTCTTCGCCTTTGCTGCTTAGCGTATCCTCCAGTCGCGCAGTACGGACACTGCCTTGCAAATCGTTCATATCGAATTCATCCTCGTCGTCCGATGGTGGTCGATTCATTTGTCCTTGTTGTGATGATGACAATATCCATTCGTCTCGTTTCTTTTGTTGCAATCCCTTGTCTTTGAATTTTCGTAATTTGCGGGCCATTTTTTGTTGTTGCAGTCGCAGTGCTGTCTTGCTTTTGCGTTTGGGCTTGCCACTTCCATTGTCGCCGGTGCCCCAAATGTACGCCGCCGATTTGGCATTGCCGACCGATCCACCAGTTTTGGAAAAGGGATCGCATGACTTGATTTTCTTGTACCGCGATGTTCGGCCCATTGTTTTGTAATTTTTATTCAACTACTAAGTCAAGTAGCTGATAGATAGAAGTAGAAGGAAGGAGAGAGAGAAAGGAAACAAACTTTGCCAGTCTACTGGCAAAGAGACGATGCTGTTCCTTCAGGCTGTTTTGTTCTGAGCGGTGGGTCGATTTCTCACGAGTGCTTTTGGTGGTGCTGCCGAAGCTCTGCCTGGCCTTCGTCCGTGACGTTTGTCTCGGGCACATTATTGACGTCATTCGCGAACTCTCAAATCTTTGCCCACTGCCAATCGGCCATCACCAAGCAACAACATTGTTTGTGTCTTTGCTCTGTCCACCATGATATCATTGACTGCCCATCTTCATCTCCTGCTTCTACTGTTGGTGCTTCTGACCCATCATTCCACGGATGGTCTGGCGTCCTCTCATTCTACTCGCAGACAAAGAAGAAAAAGACCCGTCGTCGATCGACCCTCCAAACCATCGTTGCTCCAAACAACACACGGTTCTATTCTCGTGGTGGATGTCGAAAATGTCCGTGGAAAATCGGGATTTGCACTCTCTCATGTCGAGCTGATGCATAAAATTCAAGCCTGGAAACAACAGCAATTGCAAATCCTGCTCGTGGTCGATCATGGCAATGAACCCAGTGCGTTTTATGACAATGACGGCATGGCCATTGTGCTGGCGGGACCTTCTCGCAAAGCCGATGATGTCATTGCCCAAGATTGTTTGCGGCAATTGTCAGAACAACAACAACAACAAAAAGACATGGCAGTCATGGTGGTCACGGACGATCAAGGATTGGTTCGGAGATGTCACAAACACACCCGTTTGGATTTGCAAATTGTGAGTTCGTGGACACTGCTGGAAGAATTGGAGCGATTTGAACAACAACAACAGCAGCAATCGTCGTTTAATTCATCTTCTTCCTTACAAGAACAAGAAATCCAAGAAATCGACTTGGCCGCCGAATGGATGATGGCAGTGGCGAAACAACAAGCTGTCCAACACAAACACATTCCCAACAAACGAAAACGAGCACTTCAGTACAAAATCGATCAATGCCAACAACCATTGTTACAGACTCCGCTAGGAAGAGACGTTTATCAATTTGCCAAACAGCACATGGAAACAACTACAGCGTCTACAAAAAAGAAGAATCAAGATGCCTCCACTACTACTACAGCTAGTAGTACTGAAATACAACTTGATCCAAATATCCAATCCGCAGTGCTGCAATCATGGCAACAACTCAAAAACAGTCTCAAGCATCGAGTCTACCACAAGGAAACCACACAGGATAGAATTGTATTGGCAGAACAGTTTCGAATTGAGTTGCAAAAGCTATATGGCAGTGACACCCAGCAACTGGTTCAACAAATGATAATTCGACAGCAGCAACCCGCACAGGAGGATACTGGCGTAGCATGGTCTACTGTGCAACGGTACGTGTAGCATTGGATCACGCAACACGACGAGTCTCCAAAGGACACGACTACTAGGACTTCTTCTTCATCATCACCACAACCACAACCAACAACACTCCGCATGGTGGTCGTTTCCGATACACACGGATTTGAAAAAGATTTAGGAGTCTTGCCCCAAGGAGATGTCTTGTTGCATTTGGGAGATTTTGCACGCGATGGACCGCCCTGGGTCAAACAAAACTCGCTCCAACTACTCGACGAATGGTTGGCACAACAACCCCATAAGCACAAGATTGTCCTCAAGGGCAATCATGATCCAAGAGCCTACAAACCATTTGTGCAGAATCCGCAAGCACTCTATGCGACATCGGTACAGTCCGTCACTATCGAGGGATTCGTATTGGCATTGGTGCCGTTTCGATACCAGTCTGCGAAAATTGGCAAGAAAAACAAGTCAAAGGCAAAGCCTTTACTGCTGCCCGAAGCGTGCCATGTAGTGGCATCCCATGTCCCACCCAAAGGAATACTGGATACGGTCTGCACCAATGGCAAAGCGGCAGGATGTGACGTCTTGCGACAACAACTAGTCTCGTCGACGACGCCACCACCATTGGTACTCTGTGGTCATATTCATGAAAGCCGGGGATGGGAGGAACACAACTTTAATGCTGCTAATGATGATAGCAATACATTGGTGGTCAATGCCGCAAATGCCAATCATGGCAGGGCCACCAAGATTGTCCATGGTCCCGTGGTGGTTGAATTGACGCGACAACAACAACAAGATGGCAAGGAGCATGTCCAGGTGGAATTGTTGCAAATGGAGCAGCAAGGTCTTCCAGAGAGCTCAAAACGTTGGGAGCAAGAGGCTATGTGGCGTGAGCAATAAACAAAGTCACACCCCCATGATAATGAACAATAAACGTCGGCGGAACAGGCAGACGACTTCCTTCATTGGGGCATGATCTGCTACGGCACAACTTTTCTGGCGGCAACAGTCTAAAGGTGACATCATGGATGCGAATATGCCTCTGTTGTCAACAAATTGGTGCCGGTATTACGGGTATTAGCCACGATAGCGCAAGAAGGCTGGTTGGGTGGACTCATTACTAGCACTGTTCCTCTTGACCATTGGCAACACGACCTACGTCATGTTCAGATGGTGTAACGCCAGGAAAACAATTCCAGAGCTTCTTCTTGCACGCCGTGGAATTTGGCATCAACTTCAAGGAATGGGTTAAGCTGAAGTTTTTCGTCATCTTGTTGGCAAACAAGAAAACGTTTATGGGACTGTTGAACTTCTCTCAATCACCATAGTTTCACTAAGTTGGCTTTGCTGCGTCGTCTGTTGCTCCATACTTCCCCCTTGATTCAGGGATTGATTCTGTTAGTGGGCTCAGTACATCTTCAGAACCCTTGTTGACTTTCATCTCGTCGTTGGCTGCCGAGGTTAGGGGAGGAGACGGCCTGTCGACAGTAAAGTACGCCAATGCTCCAAAGACAAAGAGAGTAAAGATAATCGCTGTTGATGTCATTGCTTTGAGCTCTGCCTTGAACTTTGTCCCCTTTTCCTCGATAACATCATAGACAGGGATTTTGGCCACCAAGGCAAAACTCACGGCCCCACGAATGCCAGCTAGAAATATCATGAGTTGTGTCTTTGGATCCAGCAACACTGCTGTTGCGTCGTTATTGTTTGATTGGTGCCGGACACAGGACAGTGGCATTTTGACTGTGTTGACGACCCAACTCAGCAATAGGACCATGCCACCACGACTAATGACACAGCTCCATACCGCCACTTGGTCGAGTGCCATGCTGTAGACCTTGTCATCGAAAAGGAATAGTCCCAGATAGGCAAAGATGATGGTTTCCATGGTGGCAGCTATTGCATGAGAGATGAACCCAATATGGAGACAGCACTCGGGCGACAACAGGCCTCGGCCCGACATGATGTCTGCCAGGGTACCATGCTGGCTGATTATGGGAGGAGGATGCCCGTGATCGTCGGAATGGCATCCCAAAATGTAAAAGTCCATGATGAAACCCATGGTCAAAATGGCAATAATACCCGACAAATCCCAAGCCTCGGCGACATAGTACGGTATCAATGCCCATGCAATAAAGGAGCCAACTTCTGCGACGGCAACTTGTTGTCCTTGCAACATCCAAAAGAACAGGACGGAACACACACCGAGTACCAAGGCCACCACCATGGATCCCACCGACACCGTCACAAAATGTCCCATCATTTCTTGGTAGGTGGAAAGATCACCCAGAATCGCATCATCGTCCCCCAAATGTTGTTGTAGAGTGTCAAACAAGACAATGGCCACGGCATCATTCAACAAACTCTCTCCCGCAATCATGGCGTAGAGCGTGCCAGAGGGATCAACACCCACACCCGACAAGATGCCCAGAGTGGCCACGGGATCAACAGATGAAATGAGTGCTCCAAAAACGAGACTTTCCAAGAGCGGCAATGTAGGATACCAGTAATGGGTCATGATCCCAATGGATACGGCCGACATTGCCGTCCCAACCAACGCAAATAGTAGAATGGGTCCCACGTGTCGTCCAAAGGACGGTTTGTCAATACTGAGGGCCGCTTGAAAAATGGTGGGTGGGAGTAGAATTTGCAAAAAGAAATCTTCGTCAAAGTAAAATCGATCGTAAACCATTTCATGATGATGAACTTGCGCCATGATGGCACTAATGGCGGCACCAATCAGAATGAACGCACAGGCATCGGGGATCCAATGCAATGCGGAAACAGAGTGCAGTCCTGCCTGCGCCATGGCACAGAGGAGCAGAATGCCAATAATATCCAGAATCATAGTAGTAACATCTTCCGCAGGGTATTCGCAATACCGTAGATAGAATCGTTCCATATTTGCGCAGCAATCGGCATTGACTTGTCGCCATTCGAGTACCAAATCATCCGTAATGATGCCCGTGGCGGCATCGGTATCGTTGGGACAATGGGCCGTTTCGTAGGCATTGTGCAGTGCCTTGCATTCGTCCTGTTCGTCAAATGTATTGTTCTGGAAAAAGGGCATGACGTAGTTGCGACATTCTCGAGTCGACGAGAGATTGTAGAATTTCGATTCTTCTTGCAGGGATCGTCGTGGCAAACGGTTGTGTGTTCCATCTTGAGGAGGTTTTGTAGTAGACACTGCCAGCAACAGCAGTAACAGAACGCTTCCCAGAGACAGCAATGATGAGATCCACAGAGATGGTGGCTGCTTCATTCTTCTACTCTTACTCTCGTACAGGAACATAGTTTACCAGGTCTACTAGCTTTGTGGAAGAAAGATAGATAGATCTGTCACTTGCTAGTAGTACCGGTACGATACAGTCGTACTGGTCCACGGAACTGTCTCCTCGAAGACAGACCTGTTGCCAAGGATCTTTGGATCTTTGAGAAAGAAACAGCTCATTCTTTGCAAGGGTTAGAGTTTATTGAGTCGAGTCAGAATTGCGACTGCTTTTTCCGTCCAGAGAACAGTGGAGGACAGCAGAGAACAGTCTGCCACCCATCTGGCCTTCTTTTAGAAGAGGCTTCGTGTTCGGAAGAGATCGGGTGCGACGGCTTCGCTTTCGGCTTTCGTCTTTGGTCCCTCACAATTCAATTCATTCAACTCTCCATATCATTCTTTTCAAAGCAACCCCAACTAATAGAAGCTTGCGATCGTCCAAATTGTGCGCTGTACAAACCAAATCATAGCAAGATGAAGTCCACTCTGTTTCTACTACTCCTTCCCGCTCTATCGTGGGGCTTTCTCATGCCATCACCCGCCATGCAACGAACCACCATCAAGGTGTTTGAAACGAGCGAGAACAATCCCACCGAAAGAACAACAACAAAGGCATCATCATCTGCAGAAGAAACCGTGGCAAAACAGATCAAGGAGACTCTAGAGTCCACCAATCCTGCCGATCTTTTTGAGGAGAAAAATGAAGAGGAGGAAGAAGAAGGAGAATCATGGGAATATCAGATCTTTAACCCCAACATGTTCTGGACCGAACGAAGTGGCCGATTCCCTACAACTCATTAGTAGCTAGCTGGCTACTAGACCAACACTTCTTTCCACTATCCAAGAAACTTTATCCATACCATGCACACATCACAACAAAACAACCAAACAGAAATACCACACAACACCAAGTATTATCGAAAAGGAAGGGTTCATCAGGAAATGCAGGCAACTGAACAGATAGATTGGAACTCATTTAGGCAGAGCTTTCCACAAGCTTTTGCACGAGGAATTGTAATGGTTGGGATGAGGATCCAACTACTAACAAGCTACTAGTAGGCAACTCCATCACCCACAACAGCATTCAATAGCAAGCTGCCACCAAACTAGATACAGTACTCATTAATAGCTACCAGTAGCCTTACTAGCCCTCTGAGGGGAGTTGTAGAGCCTTGAAGGTAGGCAATGATACGAAGGCCATCAAGCTGTTCTATCGATGCGTGGCGCTAATAAGTGACGCTTGCAGCTTGACATGTATGTTCGCTCCCATGGGCTTGCTTGAATCGATCAGGGGTGATGGGGATGAGACTGAAGGAAAAAGATGGAGGACCAATCACTTTGCATTCGACAACAACTTACAATTTACTGGCATCAACACTATTGAAGATACGGAAATGAACACCAACATGACAATGATGATGCAGCACGACATAGCAATGATGGCAGACAACCCAACTATGGTATTCAACAATGGTTCTCCTCGAACCAAGCAACAATGGCCTCCTTGACATTCAGATTGTGTACTGCAATACACTCTCAACCAGAGCTTCCCCTGGTACATGGAATTTGGCAGCAACTTGCTGGAGGCAATGTCTAAGAACCTTCATCATTGCTTCTTTCAGTATGACTTCTGTACCATCAGTATATTGAGACTTGCTACCGTTGCTCGAGGACAGACCCAATGGTGTCTTGTCGTCCTTTTCAGACTTGATGAAGAGAGCTTCTGGGAAAGCATCTACGAGAGCTTCCACGGCTTCAGTTTTTCTACCATCGCAAGGATACCAGCAGACCCGATGCAATGGTAAATCTCTTTGAGGGTTCCTGGTCTTGACAGACTCTGGGTACTTGCTCATCAGAAAGCGAACGACGTGCACATTTCCAAAGCGGTTCCCTGGCCCAAAGCAATCATGCAAAAGAAGTATGTGGCCGACCTTTGGGGCAGTGTTGTCTCCAATACTTCAACTCTTGTACACCGGCTCTGGCACGAAACTTGGACAGGTAGTTCTCCATAGGCATTCTTGCATTGAAGACAAGCGGGCATGAGTTCCACTGCGCATCTTATTTTGGCCTCATTTGCGGTGTCGTAATATGCTTCGCAGAGATCGTGGATAGGCAGCTTCCCGAGATTGTTTCGATTCAATAGCCCCAGAGGGTATGTATTGGCGAGAAATGAAAAAAGATTGTCGCTGTGAAAACTGGTCGAAACAAAGTGGATTGGCAGACTCTGCATTGCGCGTGTTGTTGTTTTGATAGCATCAGGGTATTGACCATAGATATATTTGATAATTTTATATTTTGCAAGTGCTCGTCGTTACCAACGAATCTCCGTGCAGCGCAGTGCAATGGCAGATATCCATTGCAGTTCCTCAAGCGAAGACTTCTTGGATAAGCTTCTACAAGCTTTTGATATATTGCCAGCGGCTTGGAATCGCGAAAACACGCCTTATGTATAGGCAAATCGCCAGCGCGATACACCGTCCGTAGCCAGAAGGGCCAATTCTCCAGCAGATAGTCCAAGCATTCCATATCCATTGGGTTCTCCAGCCTCCAGCATGGTTTCAAAAATCAAGTAAGAGTCACCCTCCGCAATCAAGCGGTTCAGGACAGCTCGAAAATCCGCCAAAGAAGAGGCGCTCGTGAACGCCACGAAGAAAGAATCCGTGTCATTGTGAACCATTGTTAATTTTTTTAAATGATGCTGCCTATGTTGCCGCTCATCCAACAGCTGAGCAACTTCAGCAAGGACAAGAATTTCAGGATCTATTCGCGGGTCCCGAAGCCTGCACGTGTGCCAGTCCCTTCGCTTCACTCGACTGAGGACTTAAAAACTCGACTCACTCGATTCACTGTCAGCATCAGGCAGCAGTAAGTGTTCTGTTCTAATGCAAGCATACAAGCCGTTCAACTTGAAGGCGAAGCCCCTGTCTTTTGTGCTCATCTGGATGTAGTCTCCTTGCCTTGATCAGTCAATTGTTGACTGCGACGTTCTTTATCTTCTTCTCTATGGAAGCCCTTGGTGACAATCAGTGAAGCTGCATTGCAATTCCAAGGCGAAGCTCCTTTTCACAGTTTAGACTTCCATGTGCAATCCTGTGAACTCAACTTATTGAAAGCGACGATCTTCTCCTTCTTCTCCCTCAATCTGAACACCTTCCTCAATCTGAACACCTCCCTCAATCCGAGCAGCCTCTTGCTCATCAGTCTGAGCATCTTCCAACTCATCCATCTGAGCAATAATGAGTTCAAATCGTTCCAAGAAGATTCGCAATCGCGCTCTGGTACTGGGAATATTCAACAATACCTGCCGTCCTCCTTGTGGAGAGCGGGATCCTTCGAGCATGGCCGGCAGCGCATAACTGAGTCGTTTTTGTCGTCGATAAGCAGGATACCTGGACGACAATGGAGGAATGACGGCTTCTTGTTGTCGTTGTAAATGCCATTGATTGTCGTCCTCGTGAAAAAACTCGGTGGTGGGTGTGGAGAGAAGATCCTTCAGACGATTCTTCAAGTGGGGTGGTTGGAGAGCGAGTATTTCGGGAGGCAGGACAAAGTCGGTTCGTTTGCGCACCAATTCTTCCACGGCATACCACAGTTTGGTTTCCAGTTCGTGCAAGTCCGTCGTAGTGGATGCTTCATCATCATCATCCTCCAAGTCATGGGATGACATCGACGGCGGCGTCTGCAGAATGCCTCCTTCCTCCAATAGAGACAGCAAGGATGGTTCTTCGGTTGCTAAAAAATCATACGGAGCCTGTCGACTCCAAAAATCTTCGGCTTCTTGTTGTTCCAAAATGCCATCCAACAAGGACTCATCCCACGAATACATGGCATGTGGCAACAACTTGGAAATGGCGTTGACGACATTTCTATTCATGGCCTTGACCGACGTGTATTCACCAGCCTTGTTTTTCCGTAGGGGCAATTCGGTCTCACTGCCGAATTCGTACGGATAATAGGAAAAGGCTCGTTGGACGGCCAAACCAATGTCGTGTCCTGCCGCCTCCAATTCTTCCTCGTCGGGCAGCATTTGCACATGGGCCACAGAATAGGGGAATTCCTGTACCATCTCATCGACGACGAATCGATCCATGACTTGTACCAAGAGACACAATCGTCCATCTTGCAAGCGTCGATAATCGGTAATTTGCATTAGTGTCCCCACCACGGCCGATTGCTCTTCGCCATGCAATAGTAGTTCTTGACGCCACGTCTGGAGTGGAACGTCTCCGGGCACGTACAAATGTCCCACGAGGTAGGGAGGATTCGACGTTCGTAGAATGTGTTCAAACATGTTCGTGTAGTGGGCTTCGTGAACGTTCCAGCAATTGGTCCGTCCCGGGACTTCGGTCCAACCGACCCGCCACAGTGGCAAATGGGAGAGAATGCCCGTGATGGGGTCCAAGGATGGAGTGGCAGTGGTTGGGCTGGAATAAAAGGACTTTTGCAACGTTCGTACCAGTTTCATGCGTTCGGCTTCGCTCATGGTTCCTTCGTCTCCTTCGTCTCCTTCGTCTCCTTCGTCTCCTTCGTTTTTAGAAGCATGTAGTCGGCTGCTCTGCCATGATTGTTGTTGCAGTGTGCTGCTACCATGATGAATTGGCTGGAAACACGAGCATGGTACCAGCAAGACAAGACAAAGGACCCAGCGGTTGGAAGGTGTCATCTTGCTCTTTTTCTTTGCAATGGGAAAAACAAGACAAGAAGAAAACCCTCGAGAAAGGAAGAAAAATGGGCCATTGGAAACATCTTACGTAGCACCATCATCACACATCACAACAATCTTTTGTGCCATGTCAACACTCTCCTTTCTTCTTCCTCTCTAGAGACTAACTGCCTCCAGAAAATCGAGAAAAGCGGAACAAGAAGGTGTTCTTTGGCAGCTGCCTCATGCCACTGAGTCATTTCCCGCGGGACAGCTCTTAAATTCAGGTAGATAAGGTAAACTAATGTTCATACCTTTAATGTATATCTAATATCTAACCCTAAGTTTCCACGATCTACCTGGGTACAATTTTCTTCCAGAAGCTTCTAAAGATACCGAGCCTCCTTCAATTTTGCGTTCGTTGGCATCATCATCACATCACATCCCACCATCCATCGCTCCATCAGTAGACTAGCTAGGCCGTTCCAAGCACTCTCTATCCAGTTGCCATGCCAAGCACCATTGTACTTCTTGTTACCATTATCATTATCTAAACTTGTAATACCATGATGATTCGCGGTGGAACAGCCTTTTGGACGCTCTTTCTCTTGGTAGCAGCAGTCACCGTCCCCTACTATACATCTGCTTTGGCAAGTGCATCCCAATCGTCGTACGATGTCGTCATTATCGGTGGCGGGGCAGCCGGGTTAACAGCCGCCAAGGTGGCATCGACGTTTGGCAAGTCCACCGTCATTGTCGAACAGGCACGCATGGGAGGATATTGTACGTGGACGGGATGTGTCCCCAGCAAATCCTTGATTGCGGCCGCCAAAGCGGCCCATACCATTCGCACGGCACCCACCAAATTTGGGGGGATTCAAACAAGTGGCAATGACTTGCAAATTGATATGAAAGCCATCAAGGACAAAATTCGAGCCAAAATTCAACACATTCACGACGAAGATGATTCTCCCCAAGCCATGGCCAAGTTGGGGATTGATACTATTGTCGGGAAAAAGGCGACTTTTGTGGATGACAAGACACTCCAATTGAGTACTGTTGGCAAAAATGATAATGACAATGACAATGATACATCCTTGTTGCATGCCAAAATGGGCATTGTCATTGCCACGGGAGCGTCGCCCATGGAACCATCCGATGATTTGATTCAAGGACTTTCCACAGTTCCATTTTTGACCTATGAACAAATATTTGACCTGGAAGAGGTACCCAAACGATTGACAGTGGTGGGGGGAGGACCCATTGGATGCGAATTGGCACAAGCATTTGGTCGATTAGGGGCCACTGTCACGCACGTGGCCGAAACGTAAGTTCATGATGGTATTGCAATGATTCAATCAACCAATCGTTTTCAAAACAAATTCCATGCTGATGTGTTTTTTTGTAAATGTGACAGATTACTGGAACGAGAAGAACCAGAAGTTTCCGAAACATTGGAAAAAGTATTTGCCAAGGAAGGAATCCAACGATGCAAAGGAAAGGTTGTCAAGGTCGAAAAGGACGGCAATGGTGGGCACAAATTCACCTACCAAACTTCCGATGGATCCAAAACGGGTACCGGAGATCTCCTGTTGATTGCCGTCGGTCGCAAACCCAACACGGCTGGATTCGGACTCGAAGAGATTGGAGTCCAACTCAACAAGGATGATAATAATTGCATTGAAACCAATGACAAGATGCAAACTTCTGTCAAACGCATTTATGCCGCGGGAGACTGTACTGCCAAACAACAATACACCCACTATGCGGGATTCCAGGGTGGCATTGCCGCTCGGAACATTGTTCTGCCGTTTAGTGACAAGGGAGTCAAGGCACCGGAACAAATACCATCCGCCACGTACACGGCCCCGGAAGTCTCTTCGATTGGACTGCGACATGCCCAAGCCGTGGAAGAATACGGCGCCAAAAATGTCGGTGTCGCCGTCCAATCCATGAGTCATGTCGATCGGGCCATTTGCGAAAGCGAAGAGGAAGCTGGATTGATCAAGATTGTCTATCTCAAAAAGAATCTCAAGATTCTGGGTGCCACCATTATGGGACCTGCGGCGGGGGAAATGATTTGCGAAATTGGAGTCGCCATGTGAAGAAAAATCTCCCGGCGAACTGGAAATCCAGGTCAGTCGTGCAAACCTGAGGCAAAGCCGAAGGTGCATGATTGACCGTGGATTTGAAGCCCGAGGCAGAGGCTCAACCAAAGCAGAGGCTGAGGCAAAAGGAAGGCCGAAGGCCTGGAAAAGCCGAAGCCGATGCTGAGGTTGAAGCCGATGCCAAGGGCGCCAGTGAGGCGGGAGATCTTTGTATGTAATCTACACTGCCATAAGCCCGAGGAATGGTCAACAAGAGAGCCATTGTTTGTTGTTGTCGCGTGTTGTTGCTGGTTGTTGTTGTTGCCGATCCTTGTTGTTGTCATGTACGCGGTAGGTACAGTTTACCGGTGAATCAGTCGTGTTTCATTGCCATTTCAACGGCTAGTAGCTTGTCCTGGGTTTACTTAATTAAAAGGAACGAAACGGCCGAAAATCCAACTGTAGGTTTATCACGATACTACTAGTGGGATCTTACCCGCCAAATCATACTCAAGAAAACGGCTGAGAATCCAACAGTGGATTTTGCACAGTAACTACGGTACTAGATCAGTAAAACCTCCAATCAACTAGCTCCTTATACAAACCTGGGAAATGGCACTCAAAATCCATGTGGAAGCTTTTATTAAATCTTCAGATTGGATTCCATGCCAAACTATCCTTTGATCAACTGTCGTATGTCACACATGCCTACCCGACCTATTCCATAGCACTGCAAATCATGGCAACGGATGCTCTGTACGAAAAGACACTCAAACTAAAGGGTATACTGAATTTCCTTAAGCGGCTAGGACTGTAGATACAATGTCATGTACATACGTAACGATAACGGGTTTGATCTTGCTACCAGCCATGTTTCTTTGCACCCATCCTCTTGTTCAACAGGATGTGTCCTCTTCATGGCCTTCACTGGCTGGCTAGCTGGGACCGCCGGTGCCTAGCTAGAGCACGGGAGAGTGAAATCCACCAATACTTGACTTGGTCTATGCACACATATTTGAAAATGTTCGCGAAAGATTAAGCAGAAGGCATTTTGAGATTCTAGAAAAGGATGTTGTCTACGTATTTTATTTTCTGTTTACAAAAGAGCACCTCGACGTCCCATATGAATGAGTTGAGATGTTTTGTTCAAGTTTCGTCCCCGTTTCCTGACGACCCAAATCATTGGTTACTACACTGTGTACGGTACTGGCTGGAGATCAGCAAAGATTGGTCGGCGAATGAGCAATTAAATTAGGCAGCCAAGGCCATGGGTCGCTTGCCGCCGCTGTTTTTAGGTCGAGAATGCGTCTGTGGACGTCTACGAGAACAGGGGCGGAGTGGAGAGAGCTGTCGTCCATTCTGTACAGGAGACGCGGAACGCCCAGTAGAAGAGCGCACAGGAGATATGCCTCGTGTTGACTTGGGGCGCTGAATCTTGACCCTCAAAGGATCGACCTCTCGAGGAGGAGCAGCGGGGACGGCCATGTTGTTCCTCACTAGGTCCATGCTGCAACGCTGGGGGAATCGCCTTCGTCCACCCTGCTGTTGCTGCAGCTCCATCATTTCAATATTTCGCTCGTAGCGGAAACGAGCAAAGTCTTCTGGTTGGTAGAACATGGTCAAGATGAGACTCTCGCAGATGCGGTTGACAATGAAGATATCCGACACGGGATCTTCATCAAAGCGAATACTTCTTCTCATGCTCTTGGGGGTAACAGCTGTAGTCGTGATGGTGGCACAAGGATTCACCATGTCGACGGTGGTGGCAATGATATCATTGGAGGGAATCAACGTGAGGGTAGCCATGGTATCTCGATGCTTTACTTCGTTTTGTGATGCCTTTTGGGAGAGGAGAGAAGTTGAAATTGTGAGATCTTGATTAGATCTAGTCTAGTTGATGGTGAAAACGAACTCAGAAGCAGTCAAGCGACCAACACTGCTGAATCTTTCGGGGGTTTCTTGGCTAGCTCGCTGTGGTTACGACTGGGTACACTTTAGTTCTCGATGAGATGGCTACTGGCTAAACATCGAGTAACCCGAGTAACCAAGGCAGCATAATGGACATGCAGCAAGCAAGAGGTAGCGGCCTTTGGTCAAACTGCGGTGGTACCGGTGGGTGGTGGTTGGTGGTGCTGGCCTCTGGTCGCGCATTGAGCATTGAGGGTGGTAGGTGGCGGGTCAGCAAAATCTACAGTAGCCAAATCGGTTCCACTGGGTTCATCACATGTTAGAAACTTTCGATTTGGTTTCGACGCTCTCAACTCGCTCAGAAGAAACTATTTTCTTGGAGGCAACCCATGGCAAGTCGTTGGCCCTTGCTTTCTTTCGTCCTGACCCTTCTAGCTAGCAAACTAACTCTAGCTAGAGGCTAGCTAGCTAGTAGCGTCAGCACAGAGTAGTTTCTTGATATGCCGCTAACGAATCGAGGTCAGGAAGAAATCCTGAAGAAATCCCATTCAGACTAGCGAGCCCTACCGTTGTGGGTGGTCAATTGCTCTCTTCCTCGTTACACATTGGACACCGAAGGGAGGGACATCTCCACCGCTATGACATGCCTATAGGCAGATTAAACGCAACCTGGGTAGTGTTTCAAGTAATTTTGATGGTGTCATACTACAGTGTACTGATAAGGCTATCGTACTTCTTACGCTTCCCTACCGGTAGCTACCGGTGGGAGCCTTCTTGCAGGCTTGGTACGTTAGCCAAAATCCAAAATCAAACCTCTGGGCTCTGTGACCATTCAGCGCTTGCTAGCTTTGATGCCAAGAAATAGTAGCTGTAATAGTATATGCTTCTAAAAATCAAGGGTATTATAGTATCTTTAGTGTTTTCACTGAGAATTAGGAGCACTGAGATTTCGAGACGGGAGAGTTTATTGAGTTTCTGAGACTGTGAAGCATTCTGTAAATTGTGCTGTGAATCTGTGAGTCACCGGCAATGCTTACAGTGTAAAACACATAACACATCACTACTCATACAGTAGTACTTTAGACTTTAGATCAGTGGCTCCTGCAGTGTCTCTTCTACGGTTAGTACTGTACTGGATTGTCTGGATTGGTACTTTTACGGTACAGTACAATAGTACTGTAGTTCTCGTACAACATGGGCAGTGGGTTTTCCTTACTAGTACAAGTAAGTTTAGTCATGTTCTCCATTCTCCATCCGTCATGACTGAGTAGATGACTACTTATTTCACTCTCGCATTATTTCATCTTGTGCTACATCAGCCGCTACATGCACGTACATCGTCATCTCGTCATCTACTCCAGTTGCTGGTGACCAGGCTACTACGAGTACAGGAGCATCTCATCGCATGCGCACACTGACTTGAAAGCGCTGCTACTAGCTAGAAGCGGTCTTCCTGGTTTCTCCACCAGAGTCCACAGCCAGCAAACTGTTTACAGCAAGTGCTGCTTTGTCAATTTGTCAGTATCCAGCCAGCGGCCACCACCAACGGTTGTGCGTCTTGCCAACAGAACAAAAGGACCAATTGAAAGGCGCTGAAGAAAGAAGCTCTCTCGGTGGGTTTCTGCTTTCTGTTTGCCGTCGTGTAAAGGTTTCTATTTCAGCGAATGTTGCCACCGTTGCAGAACAGAACACAGAACACTACCTACTTTCGCTGTCAAGTAGAGGAACTTACAAAACACCAGCTCGGAGCAATGATGACAGTTCAAGCAACAACTCGCCGGGAAAGCTCAGCATTGAGCCACCGACTGGACTCGCAAGAAGCAAAACACTGGCGAATTACTGAGCGAAAGGATCAACCCCGCTCATGAGCGTCCTACGAGGGTTTGCACTTGGTGGTGCATTTCACCATTCTTTCACCACTTGCTGTCACGGTGTACTCCACTTGTTTCTGCAGTGACCGAGCAGCCACACTTGCATTGTTGGGTCCCATGCCCCTTTCTTGGTTGAGCAACAAGGCCTACCGGTACCGTACCACCCTCCAGCCAAGTTGCTGCAGAACAATCTAGTGGGCTGTTTCCCTTAAGAGTTTACCTACCGGTACCGGTACTGAGGACTGGAGCGAGTAGATTTAGCTACCAGCCAGAATAGCCTCTTCTCTCCGATGGTCTGTATCTTCGATTTCAGCCCACTTTCTTGTCTGTTTGCGTTTGTGCGGCTTTCACCAATAACGGAGCTTTCCAAATAGGCAATACCGCACCAGCCATTCCCCCCACCACTCGTCCCCTTTGTGTCCTGCCTCTTTTGAGCGCATTATGAAATTGCCCGCTGTAGCCAAAGCGATTGGCTCGGTGACCTGAGACAACCCAACACTTAAAGCTCCTGGCAATCGGGCTAGCCATGCTAGTAGATACTCATTGCAACCTAACAGCCCCAAATAATCCAATGCTGCGCTTAGCCCATGCAGACCGGTAGCTAATGCCTATATGGTGGCCAGCCATGGCCTAACGGAGGGGTGGGTGCAAACAAAGCTCAAGACTCTGCGAGGACTGAAGAAGCTCAAGTGGAACACCAACGTTTTCAATACTGCCAATGAAAAAATGCAGGGCAACCAAGGGCAAAGCCCAAGAGAACTAGACTAGCTAGGGGAAGTTTATCAATGCATGCCTGACCAAGTGCCATACCGTCAATAATGAAGACTGAAGAAGAATCCCGAAGTAGGTTTGCTGTGTAGAAAATATAACTGATAGTAGAGAGCCTGGCCTTCTGTTGCTGCCTCCTCATATGATCAGGTTGTCGTCCTCATAGGATCCGAAAGAAGGAATACATCAAATGAGATGCTTCCTCGAATGATCAAGTTGCTGTCCTCCTCGCACCATACATACATGTACACATGCCATAGGAGGATCCAAAAGATGCCTGGCCATGGAGCTCTTCATGCAAAACTGATGAGGGAGGGATTCGAACCCTCGCCAATGAAGACAACGGCCTTAACGTTGCGCCTTAGACCGCTCGGCCACCTCACCGTTTCTTACTGCTTGAAGAAAAAATTTGGAAAACTATCATGCCTACACCAATTCATCTCATCGTTTTCTCTGTTCCGTCTTCTTGTCATCCTAGCTCTCTAGCTAGATTCGATGTCGAATCTTCGAAAAGCAGTGCAATACTTGTAGCGGTAGGCAGATGCATTATTTTATTGAGACTAAGGCCGCTCTCTACCGGAGGGACTAAAGTAGCGACTAAGCCATATTTCATGGTTTAGTCGATAGTTTAGTCTCTTGGGGTGGTGTCTACCCAAGGGACTAAAGGTCCAAAGGACTAAAGCCTTAGTCACAAGGTTGGTTCACCGACTAACGGGAGGCTGGTTAGTCGGTGAGTGAGCGTAACGACTAAAGCCTCTTTAAGAACTCTTTAAGAACAGCACTTTAAAAAAAGAACAGCACTTTAAAAAAGAACAGCAGCCTCATTGCACAGCCTCACTATCAGAGCATCGCGACAGAGCTGATAGAGTAGAGGTGCAAAGGATCGAACGATCCAATGATAGGATCGTTCGACGATCGAATGATACCGTAGTAGAGGTGCAAACGATCGATCGAACGATCGATCGAACGATTGAATGATACCGGTACTGGTAGTAGAGGTGCAAACGATCGAACGATTGAATGGTAGTAGAGGTGCAAACGATCGAACGATCCAATGACAGAGGAGAGGTGCATCCCAATGGTGAGTCTTGTTATCTCAAAAAAGGAATCACTTCTGTTAAGTCTTTGTTTGAGTCCTTTAAATCCACCATGCTGATAGAATATTGGTAGCCCACCAAGTGATCACTTTTGTTAAATCTTGTTTGAGTCCTTTAAGTCCACGAGTGTTCCGTTTAGTCATTTGTTTAGTGCTGGCGATGGGTACCGGTAGACAGGTCCAAATGACTAAAGAACTGACTAAATTGTTTAGTCCCAGATTTAGTCATCTGCTGGTAGACACCACCATTACTAAAGGATAATGACTAAATCTTGAACTAAACAACCACCTAAAGGATTCCTTTAGTCGCTACTTTAGTCCCTCCGGTAGAGAGCGGCCTAACTAACTGATAATGTCAGACCAAGCCGCCAACAAGACCTACGACAAGCATGTCCAGGAATATCCTGCGACGAAAGCACCATCGGGAGTGCAAATTTCCTGGATGGCCCGTCTCGCCGTCTTTATTGCCTTTCCATCGCTCGTGGGTTGTTTGGGTCTCTACATGGGGTATCTGGAATCGCGGCGCAAACCGGAGCGAAAACTGAGTATGGAAGTGGATTTTATAATGCCCTTTTTGCTGGCACTATCCATGCCATTGTGGTGGGATCCAAACCAAGGGATACACCACTACCAAGGTAGAACCGTTGGTCAAATGGCCCAAGGTTCGAAGAAAGAAAGTCATTCGAAAGGTTCGAAAGAAGATCTGGACGACCAAGTAGTGGTGCAGGAAGAAGAAGAAACTGTGAGAAGCGAAGGATCCAACAACCAAGAAAGATGACTAAACAGATTTTTGTTGGCCTACATGATCAGTGGAATGGAACTATCTTTTGCTCTGCATAATCTCTGTGATTCGTGTCCGTATGATAAGTTTCATTTACAATCTCCAGTGTGGTGTACGTGAAAGCAACGTATCTTCCACCCCCTACAAGATTCATTTTCTAGATCCTTGCTACCAAAATCTCAAAGCCGTGGCTTTGTTGGAAGTCAACAACGGCAAGATCGCCAAATCATTAGTTGCACCCTTCATGAAAACGCACCGCAAATATCACACTTTGCACTCTTGTCCTGTCTTGGGGGCGGTACTGGTATACGGTAGCACTTTTTCTATCTTGGAGGTACCGGTACCGGTATAGGAATGTACGGGTTGGTATTATGTGCACAATCCATTCATTGCGGGTGCGGTTGCTGCAGTTGCGGTTGTGCTGCTGTGCACATGCCTGACTTGAAACCTTGAAATCGCGGATGGAATCTGTCTTCGGTCTTACTTGTTTCAACTATTCACAGCCGGTCCTTTGTCAGTCTCCACCCAGCGGCAGGAAGCAAAGCTCATTGAGCCACTGGCTGACTGAGTCACTCGCAGCTAAGAAGCAACACACCTGGCGAATACATTACTGAGCGAAATACTAATCAAACCTGGATCGAGGCAGCTCATGAGCGTACAATGCGAGGACCTGAACTTGGTGGAGCTTTGCACTTCACCATTTCACCACTTGCTGTCAAGATGAGATGTAATGCACTTGCACTTATTTTCTGCAGTGACCGAGCTGCACACTTGATTTGGGTCGCTTGGTTGAGCTAAAAGGCCATTGCCTACCACCCGTAGCCAAGTTGCTGGAAAACAATCTAGCTTGCTAGCGGGCTGTTTCCATTCGTTTTTCAATACCACCAACCATTCCGCCCCATCAATCGTCCCCGTTGTGTCTTCCTTGAGCGAGCGAATCATGCATGAAACAAGCATTACCACCCACCGTGGCTATTCGAAGCCAGTTGCGTTGCATGTACCCGAGACAACTCAACTCATAGCTAGCTAGCTATAGGTAGATGGGTCGTATCATGAACAGCCCAAATAGATAATCCACTGCCCATGGTGGCCCAAAGCCTTCCTCGATGCGTGGAATTATTCAATGAAGGCGTGCAATAGGTTGCCTCATCTCCTCGACATGAATCGAATCGAATCGAATCTTACAGTACAACATCATGTACGTACAGTACTAGCTAGCTAGTACCGTACGGTACGGTAGATCTGCTGTTCGTGCACGACTGTACACATTTAACACCTTTTAACACCGGACATCGCATTTAACATTCGGTTACTAGATAATTACTAGTGAATAGCTTTTAACACCGTTAAATGGATTTAACAACATATAAAGGTGTTTTGACACCGAATGTTAAAAACAACACGATGAAACAGCATGCTTGGAAAAGCGTCGGCCATGGCGCTGTTTGAGGCCAATAGGGCGGTGCTATACACACCAGAGCCTCTGCTACTACTTGGGTGGGACACCGGATGTTGACTGTTGGGTTGGATTAGAGGGTGAGCTGGCTAAGACCGATGAAATCCTCTCCCTCGGACGATGAATCATCGCTTTCTTGGACACGACGCTGACGACGCTGTTGACGACGGCGAGGAGCTTGTTGTTGAGGTGGGACTGCTTGAGCGGGAGGTGGGACCGCATGAGGGGCCTGATCCACAGGAGGGGCCTGAGCCGCAGCCAACGCAGCCTCGTCATCCGAAGAAATCGCCTCAGCGAGACCAAATGAGCTTGCACCTCCTACAAACTGCACGAAGATGATGCGGTTGCCTTGGTTGGAAATGATCTCGAGGTGCTGCGAAGAGGAGGATCTAACAGAGCCTTCAATGCCGTCAAAGAAGAGACGTCGTGGAGGAAAGAGGACGTTGTGCTTCAGAAAGAAAAGCAAGAACAAATTCTTCCCTTCATTCACGGCCTCAGCAAGCCCTTCTTGGATCTTCCGCCCAATGGACTGGATGTTCCAGTCAGTCATCGCAATAGGAGCCGTGGTTGTCATCTCAAAGGAGGTCGATTTGAATTGCGCTTCTTCCGCCATCGTGAGCAAAGAATTTCTTCGTTGAGTTGAGTTTCTTCGTTGAGTTTCTTTTTTTATGAGCGACTTCCAGCGAACCTCGTGGCGGCTCAACTGACAATCCACCGACGTGATCAGTTGCACCATACTCTGCTATTCCAAGAGAAGCTTCCTCTCGGCGGGTGCAATCCTTTTGCTACACAATTTACACTCATAGCTTGTAAGGATTGTTCCCGGGGAACAGTTCTTGATTCTTGGAGCCCTAGAAAAGGGACCAACGATGCGGCATGCTGGCTCTCATTGATTTGCAGGCGACAGCAGCCGGAGAGTGCTATATTCGAAAGCTCCAGCCAACACAACAACTTGCTGCTTGACAATGACGGAGCTGTTTGTTGATGCCGTTGTCGATTTTGGTGGGCCCAAATGGAATCGTGTCCTGCAGATCCTTCCTGCCGCGGAAATGCGCAAGATGGACGACGACGGATCTCGTCATCCATTGTTCTTCTGGAGAATTGGCGGCGGAACAGAGTTCTTTTGCAAGTGCACTAGTCTGGAATTCCAGCGTTGGGGCAACTCGATGAAATATCGATTCAAAGCTTCTGGCCATCTAACCGACGGGGGCAAACCAATCGGCACGCCATCTATCTGGGAAGTGAACCTTACGTCTCGTGCTACCTGGTCCACGGAACTCAACAAGATGAAGGGAACCAACTCCTCCGTTCGTGTGGTTGGAATCAACTTTGTCTATCCTGAAGGAGAGAAACGTGACAATGATATTGTCCGTGTCGAAGCTCTTATTCCTGTCACATCTGATGTGGACAAGGGCAAGGTGCTCAAAAAGTGTGTTGACTGGGGCAAGACAGTTGTCGACGGCAACATTCTGTACCGAGAACTCATTGACGAATTGCCTGCTGACCATGAAATCTAACCCGCAACTGCCTGCCACCAGCGAATGTGGCTTGTACATTGCCACCAACAGTATGAAAAAAAAACCAAATAGATAGCTATTCTTTAAAATAAAGCTATGCTAACCCACAACAGCAGACACGTTGTTAAAGAATTCCGGCCGCGATATCGTCCGACTCATCATCGTCAACAGATTGAAGCACCAGGACAAGCACAAGGCCATTGAAACGCTACCTTTGAAGGCACAATTGAACTGCAGAGCTGACAAACTGGCAGGCAGTTGTTACATGAACAGACACATCAAACAGGATCACTCCAAGGTACTCCGATTTCCGGCCAACTTGGCCCAGCTGCACCTTCCCAGAGGAACATGCACATACAAGCTTCCCAGAACCCTGCGGCATCTCAGGAACGACCAGCCCCTGTTCGACCACATTGTCAAACTGAATCCCGACTGGGACGAGGACACCCCTGCACTGGTTGATTGGACAGCCCATGGTCGAGCTGTCAACCGTCACGAGATCCACAAACCGACAATTGTGAAGTTCCTATTTCAATTGCTGCCAGTTGGGAAACGGATCCACCGGGATGACCCCAAGTATGATCACCACTGTCCCCGTTGTGGCGGTGATCACGAGACAGAGACCCATGTTTACAGATGCCCGCATGTTGACGTGGATTTGTGGCGAGGGACCATGCAACGAGCGATCAGCACAAAGTTGCGCAAAGATTCCACCGACCCCTTCCTCCTGGAAATTGCCCTGGATGGACTACAATACCACTTTGAAGATCGATTCCTCCACCCATGGCACTACCCTGACAGGTATAGGGACCTCGTTGACACTCAAAATCTCATCGGTTGGGACAACTTCCTGAGAGGACGTTTGTCCACACACTGGGCTAAGCATCAAGATACATATCTGCATCGGGTCGGCTCCCAGGAAACAACCAAGACAGGGCAGCTCTGGGTCACCAACCTAGCCTCACTGCTCATCCAGCAGTGGTGGAACCTGTGGGAGGATCGAAATGCTGCCAGGCATGGCAAAGACAGGGAAGACCAGTGGAAGAAGAAGCACGAACAGCTTCAGCGGGAAGTGGAACTCATCTACGAGAAAGTGGATCTGATCCCAGCGGAGCTGGTTGATTTTATCTTCAAGCGACCGCTGGAGGAGCAAATGGCAAAAGGCCCAGGCGACATCAAAGTGTGGCTTGCCAACTGGCTGCCCGTCGTCGACAAGGCACTCAGGGACGAACATACACGCACAATGCAGAGCCATGACACAGGGAAACTATGCACAGAGGGGGTCTTACCGTAGAAATAGATGGCAATCCAGCCAAGGGTAGCTAGTTAGTCGTACAGCACCCTCCGGAGTTTTGTTAAATTTCTCCGGTGGGGGGCTTACACTAGGCCCATCCTAAGTGGGCGCACTTGTGCGCCTGAGGTATATGGGTTCGTCACGGCACCGTTCAGCGGATCGTCTGACGAGGTGTAGCCTTTAAAATAAAATCTCGTTATTTTTTTTAGATTGAAGAACTTTCTGCAACACTTTACGGCGGCGAGCTTTGTCAATAGTGAGAAGCTTTGTCGACAAATACTCATCTTCATTGTCGAAGCAAGCTTTCAAACCAACGTCATCCTCAAACTCAAGGATTGTACCATCATACAGGCGCTGCAGCTCCTCGCTATCATCACTTGTCCAGCCATCGTCATCGTTCTTATTGACTTGCAGATCCATGTACTTTGTTTCCCACAGCAGAACTAGATCTTGTTTTCTCCTCTGAGTGCTATCGTTGTAAGGTGCCAAAGGATGTTGGCCTTGTTTCCATTTAATCATTGTCTGTAATTCCGGTTTCTTCCACTCTTTATAGCCCCGATTCGAGTCGAGTATCTTCTTCACATCCGAATCGACTGTCACTCTTTTCGTTGATGACTTCTTTTTCTTCTCTAATTCGTCTGCTCTTACGAGCATGTCCTTTCTGGCATAAGCAATCAAGGTGTCGTCGCATGTCATCGGAGCTCCGCCATTGGTTGCCTGAAACCAACCACCTGCAGTGGAGCAAGCCATAATGGCATCTTGCCTTTCTCTTGTGTTGGCAACTGTGACAGCAGACGTTCGACCTCTGGTTTGAGCTGCTGTTACTCGCTTTGGATTGCGTCGAAGATTGTTGGCTAACTCGTATCCCTCGTCTTCAAGGAATGAAACAGCCTCCTCATTCTGTTGTTCCAGCTCATCCAACAGGCAGCCATACGGATCAGCAGACTCGTTGATTTCGCCATCTTCGGTTTCAACAATTTCGTGTCTGATCTTTGCGGATTTAAGTCCAACTCTAGTGCTTGGGCAATACCCACACTTTCTTGCTGCAGCCTCGATGTGCTCGGCATCAGTTGATTGTGCAAAGGCGTTGACAAGCTCCACAGTTGAGCCATCGACCATCGTAGCTCTGCCACCAAACACAAGCATTCCGACATCAGACATCGACAGAGCAGCTTTTTCTCCTTCCAATCGATATCTTGCTGTCCATAGCGTCTCTCTGTTCTGATAGATAAGCTTTTTCAACAAAGCAAAGAGCTGATCGCACTCTTGGCCAACCTCCGTGCCGTTGGGTAACCCTGGATGCAGATGGGCTCCACGGGCTCTCAACATCCGAAGACACGCTGGGTTGTTTCGGCCTGGACCTGAATCGATCTTAATCAGAAGTCTTTGTCCCTGTCGATCAGCTGCGTCAGGATATAGCGGAAGAACACACTTTCTAAAGAAAGCTTCTAGCATCTCCTTTGTCATTCCGCCTTTTGGGTTCATGGCGAAGGGAATGTTGTGTCGACGGGGCTGCTTAAACCCATACCGTGCTTCAATCTGGGGAAGGGAAGCAGCAAAGTCAACTCGGTGCTTGTAGTTGGTTGGGTCTTTCGATTTCGTAGGGAAAATGAACAATGGAGGCAAAGCTTCGTTCGCAAAGTTCATGCCAAACATAAGCGTCATGGAGGCACCACTCTTTTCAGCTGCCTTCCCAGCATTGCCCATCCCTTTCGACGTTGGAATCCTCGACTGCCTGCCACCAATCGAATCATCAGTTCCATCAAGAGCAATGTTCATCTCATCGAACTGTAGCACGCGGTGAAGGGCTTCTTCTTTCCAAACAATGTAGCCATTGTCCTCTGGGGACTCTGTTGGCAGCAGCTCTCTCGCAAAACCAAGCTCGACAGACGTCTCCTCCCAATTCATGTAATGCTTCAGCTGGGCTTGATAGGTCAACCACAGCACTCGAAGGGACTCTCGAGTATCAGCCTTCTCAAGGTCTTGTAAATGGCTTATTTCCTTTTCAATACGACCATAAAATTTGGCATCGTTCATTGTATCAAGCCCATTGCGTTGTCTCATTTCGTTGAGGACCTCTCCCACAGAGCTTTTCAACTGCTCTCGGTTCATCCTTTCTTGACAGTTCGCTTGTTCAATAGCACAGAGAGTAAAAACAGCACTGCAGAATGCTTTGAATATATCCGCTCGAATCTCTCCCTTCCGGCCAAGACGTGGCGGGGATTGATTGACTCTACCCTTCCGGATGCCTTCGGCTAGCTCCCTCCCGGAAAGAACATCAATGCCAATGAGATTGTTGAGCGCATTGGCCACTGCTTCCGCTGATTTGAAGATCTGCAATGTGTTCTCCTTTGTTGTTACCGATTTGTAGATCACAGTGCTGGCCTTGTACATCGACTTGCGGATGTTGTCCAATTCGCGATCCGTTTGCCTTTCGGCTTGAGCCGCCTGTGTGGTCCGCCTGTGGAGCTGTGACGTTGTCAGGTGCGAGATAGCACTATTAATATTCTTTGGGCGATGTTTAGCATCTTTGTAGGACGTATTGGTTGATCCGCAGGATGATGAACCAGAAACTGGACTCAACAAGGGTGGAGGCAGCGTCTCTGAATAATCAAAGATAGGCGGGGTATTGTAATACTCAAAGCCCTCATCATCATGGACAACAGACGCATGGTTTCCCTTGCGATTTCTTGCTGGAGCTGGAGCAGGTGAAGAGGTAGATGACAAGGGAGACAGCGCACTCGGTGGATAATTAGAATCATCATCGTCCAATCGAATTTCTTGGACTGGCCTCTTGGATGCATACGGAGCAACTGGTGGACGCATCGGAGCAACTGGTGGACGCATCGGAGCGGCAGCACTAGTGTCCTTGACCGGTGCTTTATTCGCAGCGGCAGGCGGCGGTTTCTTCTTTTTCAGTGCAGCCAATCGACGAGAGACACGAACGTAGTTTTTTCCAGGACCACAACTTGATTCAGGAAATCCAGCAAGTCTCATAATGTAGGCAAGAGCAGCTTTCCTCCCAGTATTGGGGTTGATGACTACCAAACCGGCAAGGTGAACAGCGCGATTTGTATTGTCTTCTTCGGTGTTGGGATGAAAAGGGGGGCCTTCAGCTTGCTCCAAGCCTCTCAAAAGCCGATTTAGTTGGCGTGTATTGGTCTCTGACAACGCTGACTCTTCCTCCATTCCCACAGCCATTAAGCAATCTGTCTTGCTGTAGACAATCTCAATCCAATCAGGGATGCCTCGGTGGACATCAACCGCCCTTTCGATCAAAGCGTTGCTCATCGTGACGATGACAATCCAAGCAAGCAAATTGTCGACTTGATCCCAAGTTCATCCCATCTCCGGGCCATTCAAACGGACCAAATATCTTCGGAACCGAGGACACATGGAGCCAAATTTTCTTCGTTTCTTCATCTCCTTGGGTATCATTGGCTTGGCACATGGCTATCAATGCAGATGCTTCCTTCAAAAGCAGCACAATCGTCGACACACTTGTCATTGTGTCAATCGATTGGCATCAATCCTTTTGAATCGAACTGAAATTTGACTTGGCTTGCCATGTTAAATTGCTTTGAATACGCGTGTTAAATCTGTCAATCATGCTATGTTAAATTACAATTGGGAAAAGACGTTTTAACTTACGGTTCTTAGGGAGACAGTGTTAAAGCCCGTGCCAATAGGTGTTAAATACCAAGTCAAATACGTTAAAAAACTGCTTCGCTAAAAGGATTTTTAACACTTGATGCTTTAACGCTCCAAAAGCGGGAGTGAAAAAAGCTTTAACATCGCGTTAAAAGTTAAAAGGTGTTAAACGTGTACCGTGCAGAGTGATTGGATCTTCGTAAATTAACCCTAACGCTTTGCTAAGAATTTCGTAGGCGTCAAACCTGCGGCCAATCCGAAGCGAAAATGTGACGCCACAGCCGTGCTTTTCTTTGGGACTTTATTTTTTCTTTGGAAGACGAAGGAGTACACAAAGATGAAGCTCTCGTTGCGCCTCGTAGGCGCTCTCGTGGTGGCGTCGTCCACTAGTAGTGCCAGTGCCAAGAAGAACATGAACGATGGCGTCTACTACATTGCCAATTCGGAAACATACGACTCTGTCTACAAGTCCGAGTACTTTGATGTGTACTCTCCTCCCATTCGGTCCAAGTACAGTGAAGTCTTTTGGACGGGTATGGATCCTGTACCAATCCCACAGAATATCGTGGATCGCTTTCGCAACCAGACCATGGCCATTGTGGGCTACGAAGTCGATCAAGTCCGCGTCGATTCAGCGACAGGCAAGGAAGTTCCCGTGCCCATTACACACGCGTACAACCATCATTACGTGGCGACCATGCACAATTCTAAAAAGGGACGGGTCGTTCAAAAGAAACTGAGTCAAGAAGAACTGGATGCCATGGAACCCCATCATCGTGCGACCATGATGAGTCACGGCAGTGATCACTTTGTGACATTTGAATATCACAACCAGGACGATGAAGCGTACGAATCGGGGGCCGCTACATCTCCCATTACAGTCTTTAGCGAAGCCAATGGCGGAGAAATGAGATTGTCCTATCACGGATACCCTCACGGATACGCCCAACTCATTCACTCTCCCGATACCTTTCGCGTCACACCCATGCAAATTGATACTTGGAATCGAGACTACGGGGAGACACCCCAGTTCCATACGGGTCCCTTGCCCCAAATATCGCCCGTCCATGGCGATGAGACTGCCATTTACAGTGGATTGTTGGAATGTCCGTGCAGTACGCGTCGGAAAAAAATCGTGGAACGAAACTACAAATTGCTAGGACAAGGAGAAGAGTGTCCTGCCGACCAGAAATCCGTCCAGAATGCCACGGAATGTTGGGCCGGAGCACAATTGGTGGCCCCCACGTCGTCCCGCGTCCAACACAATACAGGAGACAAGTCCAAACCGTTGGGATGCAGTTTGGAGCAACGAGAAGATGGGGTCCTGCAAGTCACCTGGAATGAACCCAACGACAACGACCTGGACGAAATCCATGCCACGTCCAAGTCGGTGGTGGCCTTTGGAACCAACGCCATTAATGCTACAGTGACCTTGCACGAAACGCAAGCCACACTCACCCTTGTGGGGCCAGTGGACAAGTGGTTTGGCATGGGTTTTGGATCCAAGAATATGTGTCGACACATGGAAGCGGATGAATGTGTGGACGGTGGTCCGTATGCCATTATTGTCTACAATGACACGTACGTCGAAGAACGCTACCTCGACTTTCATGGCAAAGGAAAAGTGTTGCCGGTCACGCTCCAAGTTGTCTCCAACACCGTTCAGGGAGGAAACCGTACGGTCGTGCTGACGCGTCCGCTTCAAGGACCGGATGAACGCTACTTTAGTTTTGATGCGGCCGTACCCAAACTCGATGTTATCATGGCACGGGGGTGCAATGACACTTTTGCGCAGCACTGCGGACATGGAACCACTACATTGCAGTTCATGACGGTCGACACGCCCATGCGAGTGTGTCGGGACGGCGTCAGAGGTGAAATTGATGGTAGAGGGTTCAACGAACATCGGTGTGCCAAATTCCCCACTGGTGTGTTGTTGGATCAAGGCAATCCCACCTGTTCCATTGAAACCTACGTGGGAGGATTGTCCTGTTGTATTCACGGCCATTCTCTATTGGATAAAGATCAAGAGATTCCGTGGGCAGATCAAATTCTAGAGTACCGCATGAAGTTCCGATTCTACTTTGAAGATTACACACCCGCCGCTACAACAAATGACATGCCATCGCATTTGCAAATGGCACGCTTTTATTGGCAGACGGAAGCTTCGGCAGGAGAATACGATATCACACCGTGTCCGCCAGGAACTCCGTCGTCGCAATGCGTGCAAGTCATTACATCGCAATGGAAGGTGCAAGCGTTGTTGCAAGACACGAAATGGAGCAACATGTGGGGCACGGGTCCCAACAGCACCAAGGCAGAAGGAATCGAACTCATCAACGCCATGCCCCATTGTCATGCTCCCTCTTGTTTGTCCATGGAATTGTACAATGCAGATACCGGACAGCTCTTGTGTCATGTGCAACCCAAACCTGGAAAGTCTACCAATAAAGTCTATGACGAACTCGGATATCTGGCGATTCCTCCGTGCTTGTGGTCTCACAATCCCGACGACGGATTGATGGAACCCCCCTTCTTATCGACCGACACGAACTTGTTGAGCATCAAGCGCAACAACAATACTGTGGGACACTTTGGAGAAATGGCGTCGTGGCAGATGCGGGGAGTGGTGGTGATGCATCGCGAGGACAGCCAGAAAAAGCGCGCCCAAGTGGTGAATGCGGCGGCCAAAAAGGCGCAAGGTAACGAGAAGGCTGCCGACGGCGCTCGTACGTCGGTGAGGAAGGGAAGGCCTGAAGTTTAGTAGAGAAATAGTTAGTTAATTTAGTTGCACATTGCATATATGTCAAGAGACGCTATTCGTTTACGGCACCTACGTGTACCGTGTGCGCGAGCAAAGCAGTACTTTTGGGAGGGCGTAGAGTTTCTGCTTCCTCGCTTTCCCTCGCTTTCATGCCTGGAGGTATGATAACGTTGTACCAATGAAAGCGACTTTATGCACCCAGACAGAAAATGGCCGACCACCAAACTATGCCCGACCTCCAAAGCTAGACTAATAAACCCTCGGAAGGGAAAGCAAAACTGTACAGAGCTAGCTAGCTGGTTGTGGGAAGTCCCGCCGTTCATTTTGTAGCGTTCGAGCCAACCTGGTACGTATGGTATCTATCATTCTACCTAGCTAGATGGGTATCCCATAGCTATCTCTGCTGACCACCGAGGGAGTATCCGTATACGCATCCATGGCATCCAAGTGTGCCGGATTTTTGCCATGCTGTATCATTTGCTCCCGTAACAACCGCTGTGGAGTACTGTATCCCATGACCCGGTCATAATCTTCCAACAAGGGATCTGTCGGTATCAGCCACGTCCAATAGGGCCCAATTCCAAAGACATCCTTGAGTGCGATTTGTTCTTCATCAGAATCATCCATGGTATTGGTGGCTTTCTTTTTGAGTCGATCAATAGTACCAATGCCCGTCATGAGACCATAACACACATTCATAATCATACTGCTGGTAAACAAAAAGGCTCCCACGGACAGAAACGTCATGACCCTTACAAGCTGTATCAGCACGGCGGTAAATGTACAATCCTCATCGGCACAAAAAAAGTAATTCCATCCCAGCAGTAGCAGACACATGGCCGAGCACGTCCATGTGTAGAGTAAAAAGAGAATAAAATGCTTGAGATTTCCCGCCCCCACACAATTATTCATCCACGGACAATGATGGTCCATTCTAGATATGCATCGATTGCAGATTCGACAATGATGCGATTGGGGTGGTTTGAATGTTTGACATTGACTGCACATGCTCAATTTGATGGCGGTGGTTCGTTGGGTTTCGGTGGGAACGGCCGATGCGGGTACCGATCCGGGATCTGTCAGGGATGTTTTGGCATGACATGCCAATGCCATGAACGCCAGGATTGTGTAAATAATGGAATGAATGGGTTGGATGCCCCCTGTTTTGGCGAGAAATGTCATGGTAAAGGAAGAGTATCCAATCAGGCCCCACACGATGAGTGACATCATGCTGCCGGCAGCATCGCCGCGATTCATCCACACCCCGTGTTCATCGGTAGTCCCAACACTGCAACTCCATGACGAGTCATTGAAATCGTCTTTGTAATATCGGTCATTGTCTTCTGCTGCTGCTGCAGACGAACTGGTGCCATTCGTGCAACAACAGCACAAGCAGGACATGGCGGCTTGACAGAGACGTCGGGAGAGAGGAAGATTCTTGTTCTTTTCTGGAGCTGGTATAGAATGACTAGGACCGTAGCCACCAGGAGTGTAGGATTCCAAGGGCGGTCCGTTCATCATGGAAGGATCATCCCGATACGGAGCATGACGGTGTCCATTTGGCGGAGGACAAATTGGAAATGATTGTTGGGGGTAGCCAGATGATTGTTGTATGCCGTTACCGGTATTATGACACGCATGCACTCTCTGTCTTGAGTAAGCCTGATTGTTGTTCCCATACAGACCGTGACCGTGAGGTGGTGACAATGCTGCTTCCATCATCGTTGTATGTCTATGTTAGTTTGCTTCAATCTTCCGAGTCCACAAACCATTGGGAGGTGGTACCGGTATGGTAGCTTTAGTGGAAGAGGATCGACAAATGACATGGTCGGCGGTTTCGTGGACGTTGCGCAACCTCCACGGAATTTTCGACTGAATGATCGATTCGATTCATCATTCGAATAATTCGACTCAATCGAAGCGAATTCGAATTCGAAAGTTCCCCTCGAAACCAACCCCACAACCACCTTCTTGGACCAGCCCATTCTGCTGCTGCCTGCTTTGTTGAGATGTTGCGACTTGTGCACTTGTGCCTTTTCTTGTTTCAACATCAAAGAGGCAACAGTGCGCACGCTTTTCAAGCAGGGAAAAGAGGATTGTGGGAGTATGATGGTCACAACACACTACACAAAGGAAGCGGCGGTCATGATGTCCTGTTGGGAAGTTTCCCACCACCACTGGGTACAAGTTCTTTGTATGCCAGACCCAAAAGAACCGATGAAGCAGAAGATGCTCGAAGGATAGCCATCCAGCAACGGCTAGGCATGACAGACAGTGAAATTGAAACTACCCTGATGAAATGGGGATCGCTTCTTTCAATTACAACAGAGAATGTTTTGGGCACCATTGACTTTCTGCAACAACACCTCCATTCGGACCAAACCACGCTGAAAACGATCATTATGAGAAGCCCTCGCTGCATTGGTTTCAAAGTATCCACATTGAGGTATAAATTGGATTGGTTTCAAGACAATTTTGGTTGGAGCCGAAAGGAGCTACTAAAGGTGCTATCCAAACAACCAGTTCTTTTGACCCTTTCCATCCACGACAATCTGGAGCCATCACTGTATTGGTTTCAAGAAACACTGAACCTGACGGATGAAAGACTCTCCAAAGTCTTGAAAACAAATCCACAGCTGCTGTTGTCGAACAAGAAAACGTTTGCTCAGAAAACAGAATGGCTACAAAAGCGGTTAGAACTGGAGACAAAAGAGGAAATCTCAATAGTCATTGGGAAAGCTCCCGTCATTTTGGGTTTTGCCACCAATGCCATAGACTGTAAGATCAATTGGCTACAATCTAGCTTGGAGCTCACGGATCTGGAAGTTGCCAAGCTAATTTGGAAATTCCCACTCTTGGTGGCCATGAGCATTGAGGAGAATATGCAGCCAACACTGAACTGGCTTGTGAACCGGCTTGGCGTTAGAACAACCAAAAAGGTCGTTTCACTCCTACCACAAGTATTGGGTTTAAGCATCCAAGATGGCATTGAACCAAAGCTGGAATTCCTCCGAAGAGAGTTTGGACTCAATGAAGAAGGTCTGTTGAACATGATTGAGAAGATGCCAGCTCTCCTTAGTATGAGTTGCAGTAACATTGGCAATACACTACAGTTCTATTCTGAGCGCTATGGAGAAGACTTGGCACTCCAGTATGTTATTGGAAGTCCATCCTTGTTGACCTATAGCATGAAAAATCGTCTAATTCCACGTTGGGAGGAAGCTGAGGAACTGGGCTTTGAAGCAGAGGTTGCCATTCATGTGCTGGCACAATCCACAAACAAAAAGTGGAACCTATTTGTGGAATCAAAGGGATGAATCCTTGGCACTGTTAGACAACAACAAAGGATGGGAGAAGGCGGAGTGATATTATTTTCCAACCAAATAAATGGCGAAATCCTCAAAAGCCATGGGAGCACCAATATTGTGGGTGCGCTGCCTTCTGGTAATGTAGCTTTAGACAGCTAGCTAGCTACAAGTAGGTAGCAACCATGCCATATAGCTACACCAGACACGGAAAGCTCTAGCCATCAAGACTCTGGCTACTAGTAGAGCTAACAATCCAGTCCGTTCTCTCTAGCTAGCTAGTCTAGGTACTCGGGCGGGACTTAGCGTTGGCGTCATGTTTCGCCCGCCACGTGTCAGCCTCTCAGGGTGCCATCAACTCCAACGACAGCCAAAGATCTCAAAAAAAGATCTCGACCATGTTTTCAGTTAGTTTTTGTCTGTGATCATTCGCAAAACCTCGAAGACTCCAAGAGGTAACAGCATTACAGTACCAACGATGAACCTACAACGACGATTATCCTATGCATTCCTGTTGGTCTGGTGTTGTTTCGTCCAACATGTGTCTTGTGCCAAGCTCATGAAGGAGGTTCCATACAAGTTGAAGAATCTTTGCAGCGACATTAATGCTCCTGTATTGCAAGGGAGGCAAAAGGCCAAGATTCTGTCCTGGCTGTTGGAAGCCACCAGCGAATCCAGTCTCAAACTGAAATCGTCACCCCAACATCGTGCCGCTTGTTGGATGCTCTTTGGAGATCCCAATCGCAAAAGCGTCCAAGGCAGTCGCGTCGTCTTTCGTCAACGCTACGCTTTGGCCGTCTTTTACTACGCCACCGAAGGTCCCAAACACTGGTATCCCGATGTGGGCAATCCCAACGCCACCACATCGGCATACAAAGCCGATGGCAGTCATCCCTGGTTGAGCAAATTTCACGAGTGCACGTGGTATGGAGTCAAATGTTCCGGCACTATTATTCCATTCACCTTTCGACCCGTGGTGGGTTTGGATATTTCCTTTTTTGGTGTGGCGGGGATATTGCCAAGAGAATTGGCTCTCTTGTCCAATATGAAGGAAATTGATCTGCATGGGAATGATCTTCAGGGAGTCCTGCCACACATGGCGGTGGTCAATTGGAAGAAACTGGAATATATGAGACTCCACATGAATGGGTTATTTGGCAATCTACACAAGGAAATGAAGGAAATGAAAAACTTGAAACAACTCATCCTCTTTGGCAATTACTTTGCGGGAACCATCCCCAAGGAATTGAGCCAATTGAAGAAATTAGGTGCGTTGCGTTGGGTTCGTGCTACGGTACGGAACATACATGGACTTTTTGTCCATGTAAAAGCAACCATGCAAATCGAATCCGTCTTCTGACATTTTCTTCTGGTTCTTGGCTGTGTTCATTACCCTACCGTTCATGATTTGCAGAGGTGATTGACCTATACGCCAATCAGTTGGAAGGGAGAATTCCTTCTGAATTGGCAGCGCTTCCAAAACTTCGTAAGTTGTCGTTTCAGTCCAACCCACCGCCTGGCTAGCTACCTCCTGGTTGGTTGCATTCTCTAACGCCGAATGCTATGATATTCCTTGCATGACGACGCACATTTTATTTATTTTTGTGGCGGATGGACAGGCAAGTTGGATCTACACGACAACAATTTGATTGGGGTAATGCCGAAAGAAATTTGTGAACGAAAGCTCCCAGTGCTCATTGCCGACTGTTTGGGTGCCAAACCAGAAGTTCGATGCGATTGCTGTACCGTCTGCTGCCACGGACTTCCCAGAATGATTTGCAAAGATGTCAAGACGGGAGAGACTGTCATTCCTTCCTAGTTTAGTTGCAAGGAAAAGCTGAAGGAAAAGCTGGCTTCTAGCAACGAAGAGGTTCTTTCAAGCCCGATACACATCCAATCAAACCTGGTCATTTTAGCTAGCTATAAGAAGCAACTCAATCGACATTAGATGTGATCGATGTCGCGTAAAACAATACAGAGCTTTCATCAGTCAAAAGCTCTGTCAAACTGACTTCTTGTTTTGAAGCTTGCAAAACCAATGTTTGCAATTTTTTCGTTTGCCTTTCGTGGTGGCCAGACAACTAACTAAGTACCATGAAGTCGTCAAGACTACGTTGTAGCAAGTTCGGACTACAGGTACAGTGGCACCATCGCCATGATCGTGTGCATGTGGTTTTCAACCTGCATCTCCAATCTGACCATGGAACGACAGATCCAAGGCGATCATCCAAACCTGACACCAATAGCTCCGACGACGGCCAGACTTGTGTCCGCAACCACGAAACAAACAGAACAACTTGAGATCTTCGCTCATTTTTTCACATTCCAAGCAAAGCTTTGAGACACCAGCATTAGCACCCACAGAGAAGAAAGAAAGAAGCAAAGCAAGCAACATGGAGACCGCAGAGTACATGAAGCAATCCTCTCGTCTGAGCAACTATGGACGGTAAGCTAAGCTATCCAGCATTCTTCAAATTATGTTTTGATTGGTTCCTCAGCATCTATTCAGATAGATTCTCACTTTGGACTTGCTGTTTGTATTTTTTTCGGTCCTCAGCCCCCAAGTTGCCATTTTGGACTTTGGGTCTCAGTATTCGCACTTGATTGCTCGTCGTGTGCGAGAACTGCACGTCTACTGTGAACTCTACTCGTGTCAGGTGGATGCCAAGGAATTGGAAGAACACGAGATTATTGCCATTATCCTGTCGGGTGGACCCAACTCGGTCTACGAAGAAGGAGCTCCCCATGTCTCTCAGGGAGTGTGGGATCTGATCCAAAAGAATTCCATCCCCGTGCTGGGCATTTGCTATGGCATGCAAGAAATGGCCCATGTCTTGGGGGGTGCCGTCGTTCCTGGACTCAAGCATGAATATGGCAAAGCCATTGCCCGACGCAGCGAGGGGTGCAATTCCGTCCTCTTTGAAGACATGCCGGAAGAATTTCAAATGTGGATGTCTCATGGAGATAAACTTAGCAAAGTACCTGATGGATTCAAACCTGTTGGTAAGTTTCATCCAACACACAAAAAGCAAAACTGCAGATGCTTGTATGGTTCCAAAATTGTGGACCACTGTGAGCTTACTTTTTCGCTTATTCAACCAATCCAACAATTATGCATTCTAATCTTGATGATTCGACTAATGTCAACCACAACCACCACAACAAAACAATAATTCAATTACCTGACGACAAACTACTACAATTTCTCTATCTACAAAGCCGCCACGGACAATTCCGAATACGTTGCCATTGAGAACCTGGAAACCAAAATGTGGGGTCTTCAATTCCACCCGGAAGTCACCCATTCACCCCTGGGAAAGGTCGTATTGAAAAACTTTGTGGTCGGCGTGGCCGGTGCCAAACAGGATTGGGTCATGACGGATTATGCCCAAGAATTCATTGATCGGGTCGTCCAACAAGTGGGCCCCAAGGGACATGTCATTGGTGCCGTCAGTGGAGGAGTCGATTCCACCGTTGCCGCCGTCTTGATGACCCGCGCCATTGGACCACGATTTCATGCCGTATTGGTCGATAATGGATGTCTCCGAAAGGACGAAGCCACCAAGGTATTGAAGCGCATGAAAGAAGATTGCAAAGTCAATCTCAAGTGTGTCGATGCATCGGACCGATTCCTGTCCAAACTAAAGGGAGTGACAGATCCCGAGCAAAAACGAAAGATTATTGGGACTACTTTTATTGATGTATTCCAGGAAGAAGCAACCAAGATTGAGGAAGAAGTCAAACATGAAGGTGGATCCTGTGATTGGTTGCTTCAGGGGACTCTGTACCCTGATGTCATTGAGAGCATCAGTTACAAGGGACCCTCGGCGACAATCAAGACGCACCACAATGTCGGTGGACTACCAGCAACCATGAAATTGAAGTTGATCGAACCATTGCGGGAACTCTTCAAAGATGAGGTAAGAGAACTGGGAATGGCACTTGGAATTGACGAAATGAGTGTGTGGAGGCATCCCTTCCCCGGTCCTGGACTTGCCATTCGAATCTTGGGAGAAGTGACACCCGAACGCGTCAAAATGCTGCAGGAAGCAGACGATATTGTCATTGGAGAGCTGTGGAAGTCGGGCCATTATCGAAAGATTGGCCAAGCTTTTGTGGTCTTGTTGCCGGTCAAGTCCGTGGGAGTCATGGGAGATGGCAGGACCTACGAGTTTGTGGCATCGGTACGATGTGTGGAGACCACTGACTACATGACTGCAGACTTTTACCATTTACCCTACGAAGTCATGGGAACCATGTCCAGCCGTGTCATCAACGAAGTTAGAGGTATCAATCGTCTGTGCTATGACATCAGCTCCAAGCCACCCTCCACAATTGAATGGGAGTGAGTGAGCGCGTCTCGACTGCCCATCCCGGCTGAAGATAGCCCAAGATCCAATTTACGTTGCAGTAACCCCCAAGTTGTAGTCAAATTTTGTTGCGTCCGCCTGGTAGTCTCGACCGGTCTGTGGCAACCACTCGCATTTATGTGCTTGTCGTCTGGTGCGTCAATGTCGTCTGCTAGCTAGTAGCACTCCCGCGAATCAGATATGTTGTGCTTGTCGCTTTTGGTTGCTGCCCTGCCCCGTGGTAAGCTGTCATTCGTTCTGAATCACCCAGTTTCGAATCAAACTTCAACCTTTCCCGGTAAGAGTTGTCGCTCCTTCCGAATGATTCAATCAGTCCTATTTTCCAGCATTTTGGGTAGTAGAAGGCATTATATCCACCCAACCCAGCCATGATCCTCCACTGCAGCCAATACCGAGTCGGATGCGGGCATTGAAACCGTTTGTTGTCGTCAATGTTTTTTAGAGAGCTTCTTTCTCCTGTTGCTTCAGGGGATCGCACAACCTTCCTCGAATTGAAAAGGCATGCTTTCGATCCCGGGAGCATTTTCCTCCGAGCCACATACAGATGAGAATCACTCCATTGGAAGTACAGACTTCCGAGGGAAAACAAAATAAAAATTCCAAGGAAGGGAGGGACTCTTTTGTCCACGATCCTTGTTCCAGTTGCAGAAAGAGCAGAGAGGATTTGGCCCATTTTGGCCTGGATCCATGAGGCTTTGCCAACAACTGGGTTTCCGCTCCAGAAGAACGAGGCGCGCTCACTTGGCACTTCCTTTTTTGCCTGAATTACCATTTGACCAGGAATGGCTCCGTTTCGTTGTGCGAAAAACAGAAACTGCAGTTGTTGCATACCCTCTTTGCCCCAAATCCTAATCCACGGAAATCTTTTTCCGTGACTCTGCTTTCCCCTGCGGTCCCTCCTTGTCAAAGCTTCAAACGCTCCGTCAAATATAACAATTCCGCTCGGGAAACAGGCCGGAGCAGGATTGACGACGAGGAAAAGGGCGATACCCCTCGTGAAATTGAGAGAATTGATTCGATTCGATGGAGAGAAGATCCCATTTGCCCAGAACATGTATTATTTGTTCCAGCTCAGACAAAAGATGGAGATTCAAAGAAAGAAGGGAGCGAAAGGACCCGTTCTTGTCTGGATCAGATTCCTCTTGTCACAATCGTCTTTACCGAGTTTGACTTGGCAACTTCGTGCTCACTGTGCGTCTGACAAAACAGGGTAGCTTGAATTTCTTTAGACATGAAACACCTGTTCTTGCCTTCCCTCTGCGTCTCCCACACTCCCAATTCCAATACAAATTTGCAGTTCATTTCGTTGTCGTGGATGGTCTGCTGTTCCAAATTTTTCCGTTTAGTCGGTTCAGCTTGTGAGCGCTCCTCTGCTTCTCATCATCTTGAGTGCCCTTCTTCCAATCCGATAGAATGACAAGAACAGCCAAACCCCCCTGCCCGGGGGGACACTTCTTTCTGGTTTTTAACGTTTTTCTATTGTTTCTTTTAATTAAAAGCTATTTGGTTGCTTCATCAGAAAACTTCAGAAGAACCTGTTTCAGAAATAATGTTTAAAAGGAATCCATCTCCACAAGCACATTCCAGGGACGAGACTCCATTTCATTCATGTATGTAGCCACCACACGACGCGCATGCGCATCCAAAAGAAGAACCCCACGGTTCATTCTTCATCACGTTCATTCAATCCTGATCATCCGTTTCTCATTACTCCTCCGTTTGTGCTTCTTCTTCGCCTTCTTCTCCTCCTTCACCTCCCGGACCAAATAGACTTCGCGCCATGTCAAACTTGGCATTCTCCTTTGGTTGAGCACGTTCCTTGGCCTTGGCATCCTTTTCCCGCTGATGCTGTTCGTTCAGAATGGCTCTGTCAAACGAAGGCGCTGCCATGTTGACATCCTTTAGCTTGGCCTTTTCGGCACGCTCCTTTTTCTTGGTGGCTTCCTTTTTTTTGTTTTGTCCCATAAAATACCTGCATCAACGAGAAGACCACACAAAAAGTCAGAAGACGAAACGATACGAATGAATACAAACAGATCATTACAGTAGTAGTACATACATCATGTCCGCCATCTTGGAAATAGATTGTTTGTTGAAAAAAAGAAAAGGGAAAGAAGGGTGCAAGGAAGAGGTATCCGAAAATCGAAATTGTGAGAAAACGGTGTAGAAAGATTTCGAGTTTCCTTGCTTGTGCTCAAGTCTGTTGTCGCTTCACGGTGTCATCGCGGTTGAAGGCCAGGTCATGCTCCACTTCCGCATCTTTCCAAGAACCAGTGAGGCCATGCCATGCTCGAAAATCTACTGGTGCCTACCTGAAACTTACATGGAAGGCTGGCGATGCTCAATCCTGCTTGCAGTATCTTGGTCTGTCTTGCTCCTTGGATCCGAGCAAGAATAATCGGAGGGGGGTAACTCGAAATTCATCACAAATATATTATTATAGGCAAAACAAAAGTGGGTCAAGATAAGGGGACCAGGAGATGAAAACTTGGGGCAACGCCCATAATGGGATTACAAGATCAGATTGTACAAATAAATACTGTGGGACCAATCCTGATGTTGTGGGAACTATGTAGGTATAACTGAGTGGCTTGAACTACATATAGTAATAAATGGAGAGCCAGAATCGATAACTATAGAACGTCATCTGGGAGTATGAGTGTTGAGCTGTTTGCACTGACTTCAGTGATACCTTAAATTTGCACTTGGGCTTTTAGATCAAACATTCTATCCATGGAGCCATTACCGGTAGGCACAAAGAATCTCGACAGAACCACAGTGGATCTAACAGAGAAGCTCATGAAATTACCCAGGATGTGTTGAACCGGTACTGGTAGTAGCTTGGACAGAGCTGCAGTTCGGAGAGGCACAGTTGAGATGGGATGGGCAGCTGGATTTGTAGCTGCTTGTTCAGAGGAGAGACCTGGTCCACCATTAATTTAAAGTACCTAAAAAGTGAGAATGCAAAGGCTTCACAAGTTCCCACAAATTGTGGGGGTAAAATTCCCCCCTCTGTTTGAGATCCACAAGAGTACGGTATTACGGGTACGCTAAACCTGTCCTCCCACCGGTACTTGGACTTGCCCTCATCTAGAACAACCCGATCTTGATGACATCTTGGTTCCGAAGAACCTTGTGAAAGAGCACAAGTGCGTCTATTGGAATGTGGAAGAATTCCCCAAGATATCCTGGGCGTCAAAAAATTGGGGACGGTCAGTTGAAAGTTGAAGCAGCCGTGCACCATGCTTAAATGCAGAAGTACAGTTATTAGTTGTACTCTACTATGGTACCGGTAGCAGCAGCGCAGATGCATCAATCAATTGTTCCTCCCCTCAACAAACGAGGTTCCTCTACCATTCAGGCAAGCTGCCAGGGTTACTATCATAGCTAGCTAGCTAGAGCTAATAGGTTGATACCCTCCTGAACATCGCTACCTCTCTCTTCTTGGTTCCGAATAGATAATGGTCCATCCCAAGGAATTCCTTCGACATCAGGAAAGCGACGTACACGATGGTGGTCAATCCTCGGGAAAACTCCAACAATACGAACGACAACACACTGACGCCGTGAATCTCATTCAATCGCTATGGCGTCAAAAGAACCACCCGCTGGAAGAAAAGCGAGACTGGATATTGCTACCCGTCCTGATCATTCCGGGCATTGCTTCCTCGGGGTTGGTCATTGAACATTCTGGATTGGACAATACCAAACATGCCGGACAACGGGTCTGGATGAATGCCGCCTTTTTGGCATCCTCTCGGCTGGAAAAGGGCATTATCAATGCTGCCGAAATTCTGCAAGCCAATGCGTTTCGCAAGCAACAATCCGAAGAAGCAGAAGATTTTAGTCGAGCCGAAGAAGCCTATCAAATTCGATCCGCATGGTTGCATCACATGAGTTTGTCCGATAATATGGTCGATGAACGACCGGGGAACAAAGTGAGAGCGTATAATGGAGTAAGTACTACATAGTCAAGAAGCCACAACAAAAAGACACGGCAGAAATGAGTGAAGTGTTTCTCACCAACCTTTTATCATGTTGCAGCTGGAAGGAATAGAATACTTGAGTGATGATTCCGTGACACAAGTTGGTAGTTGGGTGCATGCACCTGTCACCAAATATCTTGTAGAAGAAATGGGGTACACAAAGGGAAAGAATCTAGATGGAGCTCCCTACGAGTGAGTACCACCAAAAAGAAACAACAATATCCGCATTGATTGGATTTTGGTCTCACTTTCTACCCTTGTTTTGGCCCAAAGTTGGCGACTCCCTCCCAAAGTGTCGGAAGAACGCGACGGATACCTGACCAAAACCATCCAACGAATTGAAGAAATGTACGACGCCAACGATGGACTGCCCGTGGTGTTGATTTGCCACAGTATGGGATGTAAGATGGGTCACTACTTTCTCAACTTTTGCCTCCAACAAAAGGGCCAAGCATGGATTGACAAGTACATTCACACGTACATGCCCGTGGGAGCACCACATGCTGGAGTGAGTCTGGCGGTACGGGCCGGTGTCACAGGACAGGGATTGAATGATCAAGTCGATATGTTGCTGGAGGGTGATGATGAAGGACTGGTCTTGTACAGGTATGGTATTGTCTTTTGGCTCGTGCTTTGCTGTTGTTGGGCAGGATAACTACTCTGACACGTACGGTTGTTGCACTGGTTTGTTTATTCGTTCTTGTTGGAAGGTCCTGGGGATCAGGTGCCTGGCTCATGCCACGGATATTACCGACTCACGTGGTACCCAGTTGCATTGTGCGACGAGAAGGAGAGCTGGGGCTAAAGATCGTCTCATCCATCCAAGTAGGACCATTGTTTGCCAATCGAGACAAGCCACCCAAAGATTTACGATTAACCGTCATCTTCCGTGATAGCATTCGAGCCCACACCAACTTTGCAAAGGTAGTATACAAGAGAACGGCCGCGGGAGGAGTTGACGCAACCGTTTCGTTCAACGAGACGTTTTACATTGCCGTACCACATTTGGATGACCACGAGCATTTGGGCGAACTGAATATTTATTTGGAAGAACCAGCCGGACGACTCCACCAATATGGCAGTGACTTTCGACAGCAAATGAGACAATGGACTAGCTGGTCACCCATACGAAATGTCAAGAAAAAGATATCCGAATGGCTACGGGAAATGTCCAAACGATGGGGCAGCGTCCTGCGTGTCGCAGTTTGCGAAACACCCCTGCGATTCAAAACGTCCCAGTTTCGATCATCACGTGCTGGCGACGATCAACTGGTCGAGTTGGTCAAGGAGGTGTCTATGTGCGGTTGCGTCGGAAATGACGATACCAGTGAAGCCAGGGCCATTGAGTACAGTAATGATGATATCGACGAACAAACAGAGGAAGATGATTGTTTGTGTGGTACTAGCGTGAGAATCAAGCAAGGCGGCAATACGCATTCAGACAGAGATATCCATACACAACCACGATCAGATCAACCTTTGGGTACCTTGCATGTCAAGGTGCGCTACCGCCCACCGCCCAAACCATTGATGGACCGAGACACGGCTACTCCAGTGGCCGCTACAACACCGGGATCGACGCCATGCATTCCCATCCAAGACAAGTACAAGAAACTCAATCCCACAATCAACAAAGCCAACTTTGAAGTCTGGGATGGTCACGACCTTTTAAAGTTTGATGGCTTCTGCGGGCCAAGCTTCAATTGTCTACAAGAATACTATGAGGCTGATCCATTGGGCCCCACGACGAAATCATCCGGTGAAGCCCCTCCAGTGAAACGCGTTCGCGCTATTTACGGTATCAACCTACCCACCGAAGTTTGCGCTGTGTATCGTCACCGTCCTGTAGTAGTGGTTGGGGATGACTTGGCCGACTCCAGGTACGTGTTGGACACGCATGCCGCATTCCCACCAGACGGTGATGAATCGGTGGAGAACAATCCTTGGGCGAAGCATAACCTGAAAGACTATCAGATGAGGAATGGACGGATCATGGAGACAAAGTCTACGCTGCAAAACGTCCCTGGCAGGGTGGAGCAGCGACGGTGCTGTGGCGATGGCACTGTACCCTACTGGAACTTGATTCATTGTCTTTCATGGACCGGGCAGGTCCCAGATTTGACAATTGACGAATTGAAAGGAGCGGAGCATCGTGGAATCCTGGCGGATGCAAGGTTCCACGCCCTTTTGAAACAATACTGTAAGGTGAGAGATCCAAGAGCAACTGCTCTCTTGCATTCGAAGCAACAGCATTTGTCTAGAATGAGACAATCCACCACGCCTGGTGCGGGAGGAATCGGTTCACTGCAGAGCGCACTTGCCGACATGTCGGATTCTTTGGAAGTGTTGCCGAGTGCATGAGAGGGATAGTGTTGATGTAGCTACCGTAATCGGCAAACTCGATCAAACAACCCCAACTCCAACTATTAACTTTGCGCCAGATAGCATAGCTTTGATCCGCTCCAGACCGGCGATGGTGGCGAGACCCTCATGTGGACTAGCAACCGTTGCAATTTGTCGTGTTCTTGATGACCAAGTGGGAAGGGGCAGCCAGCTTCAGGTGCGGGCTGCTCTGAACCGAAGGCTCCAAAATAGCCACCGATCCAGGTGGCACCTAGGTAGCCAGTTGCAGAGGAGTTTCGATCGTGACAGCGGGGGTCCCATTGCACCACAGAATGACTCAGACTCTCAGCTAGCAGAGGAATCTTCTTCTTCTGCATGTGTACAGGACGAATGAATGAACCGTGAGCAGCTTGGGGTTTGGAAAGATCCTCACATCCAAAACTTCGCTGACTAACTTATAGCAGTCTATTGCAGCTGCGGGAGTTCATGGCAACTTTGGTTGCGGCACTAAAAAGCCAATGCAAGTATCAAGAGGCATTGGAACTGCACCAACAAGCCATTGAGGGATTTGAAACAAACGGCGGGCAGCAGTCCTTTTGGTTGCCGGTGGGACCGAACCTGATGAAGCAAGCAGCTGGTCGATCCCATCATTGGCAACGGCGCGAGGTTGACGCGTGTTTGTTTCGCTTTTGTGTAGCTTGGGTGATTCATTCGTGGATACAAAAGATCTCAATCGAAGACTTTCGACTTTCGAAAGGAGAGGAAAACGAAGCACAACATCGACGCTGTGCTCATAAATCGGAACCATCGACTTCTTTCGCATCAACGTCTTGCTATTACCATAAACTTCACCCACAAACAAAAAGAAACATGAAGTACCAACCACGACAGCAACGTGCCGTATCTCTCGTCCTCTTACTGGCGATGGCATCCTCATCGACCGCCTTCATGCCGCCGCAACCGGTACAGCCCAGGATTCCATCAGTCGATCGACACAGCATTCTTCTCTCCAAGTCCATGCCCGATTCGCACGTGCTACTTCATTTATCGCATGGAAACAACGAAGCAAACGAGAACTGGAAGGCTTTGGCCCAAGCCGCCGGCGACGTGGCTCGCAACGTTGGAAGCTCGGTTTGGGACGTGATCAAAAAGGGAGGCAACAAGTTGAAAGAGTTCGCCACCAACGCATTGCTCCCAGCAGAGCCGAAAAGCAATGACATCTTCTCCAATCCAACCATTGTAGTAGACAAGGAAGATGAAAACATGTTTCGTGGTATCTTTGGCCAAGACATCGTTGTTCCTTCCGACTCTGGAAGAGTCGTGGACCAGGCCGCCTTGTTTTTGCAGCACAACGAAATGGCAGCATCCTTGTTGGGATCATCCTTACAGTACGGACAACCCTTTTCGCAAAGCAGCAGCAGCACCAGTATCAATGGGAGAATGAGTAGTTCCGTGCAGGCGAGCTTTGAGGTCTGGGGTACGCAAGGTCAAGGCGTGGCCACCGCAACATCCATTGACGGCAACTTGGAGTACATGGACTTGGAAGTGAATGATCGACTGTACCGCTTGGATATCAATGCACCGCCCATGTCCACATCCAACTATTACCAAGCAACCAATCCGGGAATTGATCCATGGTCTGCTGTCATCTACGACGACGACGAGGATGATGAAGACATTGTGGAAGTTGAGGTACTGGAAGCGGTCAGAAGCCGCAGCCGCTATCAAGGTCGTGTTTTGGATGCTGAGATTGTGGAGAAAACGTTCCTTTAGTTAGGCCTTGATAATATTATGCGCATTGGCTTATACCAGTGCTTTGTGGCGCCCTTCCACCACAACACAAGCTAGCTAACAAGGCTCTTATTACTAGATAAATTAATTCAAAACCAGCACCAACCAAGCATTTTCACCCTTATGGCCGCCGTCCGTAGTTTGCCCATTTATTTGGTCCTCTGGGGAGATACACGTTCCGTGGTTTGCTGGAAAGATGTCCTGCCACACTCGAGCAAGATGGAGCAAGAGGTGCGGATACCGGTATCTACCGTACTCGCTCACAGGGCAAAGCGAACTCATTGCAAGCTGCGAAGGGTACCACCATGAGGCTAGCAGCCTCATGGTTTGTTTTCGTGTTGCTACCGCTAGCTAGTACCTAGTACCCTTTTAACGTTGCTTGATAGTGGATAAAGCACATCTTTGTACCCCTCACATCAACGGCTTCCGTGATAACTTCCTTCATGTTAAAACATTTTCTGTACCGTACTAGACTAGCTAGCTATGTGTGGTTCTGTACTAGCAAAAAAGCTTTGGTCACAATTTTGGCGCATTGCGCGCCAACTGGTCCGCTGTCTAATTAATTTTCTCTCGGATGGCTCCTCATTGGCCTCCATGTGACACCCTCCCACCAAAAAACTTTGGTTGCAAAAGAAGACGACCATGACCAATCACACGAGGTAGTAGCTACCACCGCGCTAATAACCACAGAGAATACTGGCTAGCGACGTGGCTAGCTAGTACACACACATCAGTTAGTTAATTGTTGTGCTAGTAGAACGGAACCATGGCCCGGAAACGAGCAGCCAAGAAGAAGATTGGTTTCAAGCGCAAGTTTGGTCGTCGAGAAGAAGCCAAGGAAGAAATAGAGACCAACGATGAGATCCCGTATGATTGGGCTGATCATCGCAATCACTCCGACCAAAATACTTCTACTACTAACCAAGCTCTGAACACCAGCTACGATGCCGGCATTTCATCGTCGGCCATGTCGCCACCATCATCGACATACCCGGCTTCGCCGCAAGCCACCATTTCTCACGATGATCAATCCATCTTCTCCCCACCGGCAGCCGATATGGCGTCCTATGACCAACCCACCCAACCCAGGCCCATTAATACTCCCTATTCCAGCAACAGTGAACAAGAATCACCAATAATAGAAGGAGCAGCAAAGATACGAGCGGGTATACTAATAGACGATGACGACGACGAATATCCCTATGCCTCCGAGTCTTCGTCCACGGGTACGGGTGGGTCCAGCCTAAACTCCAGCCTAAACTCGAGTCCCTATCGAGCATCAGCACGACAACCCAAACATGCCCGACGAAAACGATCTTCGGCTCTGGCCGCACAAGTGCGAGATTTGAACAATCTACTGACCAGTCCCTTGGTGGATCACTTGGGAGACTTGGCACGATCCGGCGAGGCGAATGCCAGTGGCAATAGTACCATGATGGACGATGATATGAGTCAAGAATGGGATCAATTGGCCAAATCAGAATCCATGTTACGGCATGAATTGGAATCCTTTGAAAATGCCGGGGCGCCTTTGGTGGTCGATTCTTCCAATGACAGTGGTGCCGTCATGATGTTTCCAAATAATACTAACAGTGACAATCCACAAGGAGACAGTTTTGCTGCTTCGTCAGTACCACCCGCCATGGCACGGCAACGGCTGGATCCCACGGCATCACCCTTGAATCCCTATGCTCTATTCCCCCAACAAAAATCCATGAACAACAACGAAAGTAGTCTCAAAACCTCTGCCGAAGTCAGCAGCTTGTCCTTGAACTCTCTGAACAGTCCACTACGCTTTGTCAATCGATATCAAGAAAGTGACGCAGAGGCAGAACAAATACTCCAAGCAGCATTGTCCGGGTTTGACGAAATATCCGCTGTACACAGCCTCGATGATACCATGCTTTCCGCGGCATCGTCGTCCGGTGTGGCATCCTCCTCCCCCACCAAAAATATTCAGGCAGCTCTGCAAATTGCAGCACGGAAACACAACAACGACAGCAGTCGGGCAAGTAGTAGCACCGGTAGCAGCAACACTTCTACGGGCATGCCGAGGGAAAGTCGCCTGGAAACGGCCCTACAAATTGCAGCTTCCAAATGCAACAACAATAATGACCAAAATACGGATGCTGCTACCAATGCTGCTACTCATGCGAGCAAAGACAACTTGGACAGACTCAGGGCTTACTCTATACTCAGCAGCCCCAACAGTTACAATGAAGAAGTTTCGCCTGAAGATGAAGAGCATATGTTGGCTTTGAATCAGCAGGGAAGTGGCAGCAGTGGAAGCAGTGCCACCACACCCATGTCCAACAGACGTCTCAATAATGGGGGAGCAGCGGGGGATGTCCGGGAGGGAAATTATAACACAACAAACCCAAACAACAGGAGTGGCAATAATATGTCTACCGGAGAACAACAGGGAGAGGGTGAAACCAGGACGTATCACGGCGGGGCCGTCAATGAGAGTAGGGACGAACCTCAGGGGCAAGTTCAAAATCACCGACAAACTCGTCGTGTCACTTCGAACCAAAGCAGCCAATTAGATGATGAAAATGACAACAACAACAACAACAACAACAACAACAACAACAACACCAATGACACGTTTGACAGCAACGAAATGGATCGTATGCTTTTAGAGTCGTTTTCACCGGGAGAACTTGACGACGAACATGGTGCCTTGATCAGGAGGTGGAGCAGTTTGGATAGCTCGGGAGACTTTGTGGATCCAGAAATCAGTCGGCTGGTGCATGCGGTAGACGAACAACTGGAGCAAACTTCGTCGCTGACGTCTCAGACGGCCACCACAGTGCAGACGGGAAATGGGTTTAGTCAGGCCACCCGCAGTGCCAGCAAAAACAGCCACCAATCTCCAGCCCTCTCAGAGGGAATCTTGCAGGTCAAGAGTGGAGACGAAGAAGAAACAGCAAAGCAAAGGCAGTATCACTTTAAGAGTGCGGGTGAAGGGGGCGGATTCGTCGTTGGAACCATTGGCTCATCGGAATTCGAAGATGAATCGGATGCAGATGATAACTTGCGTCGTGAGATGGATCTACTTGAAACATCGGAGCGGATGTGCTGCCAAGCTCTGGACGAATCAATGGAAGAATACTCTCCCTCCAAAAGTCAAAAAGTCCACACATCCCCAAGGCGATCGAACCAAAGAGAACCACCACCCACTCTTTTGGCATCGTCGGGGACACCCAGAACACCGGGAGAATCGAATGGAGAAGGCGACAGCCACAATGGCATTGACGTACAATCAAGCGCAATCCTACTCTCTGCGACGTCGACCACTACTCTGACACCCAAATCTCCACCTCACTTGACTACAGATATACTCTACGAGAACACGTCAGCATTGCCGAACATAGCTCAACCCGTCGCAATGCTGCCCCGTCCAAGCGCTTTCCGTTCCTCAATATTTTCAGCTCTTTTAAAACCATTTCGGAAAGAACACCCAGATTCGACAACACCTGTTACGATGGCAATGACAAATTCGACGAATGACGACCATGACCTTGCCTACTACCATTCAAGAGACCCAGAGCCTCAAATGATCGAATCAGCAACGTCACCCGGTGAAGCGGCAAGCCCCACCAGCTCCTCTAGCGTTGAGAGTGCACCCAGTGGTGCACTTGCCGTGAACATGAAGCGGAGCACAGACACAATCAGCACTATTACAAACGTCCCATCGTCGATCACAAGCAAGTCTGGGAAGCAAAATTTGTCAGGTGCCACGCCCAAATCTCGTGCTGCCAATGACGATCAACGCGTAATGTCAAGCAAAAAGAGTGTGACACAGGACGAATCTCCCCATACTCGCGGGACCTCATCGTCGCGGCTTCATTTGGAGGAAGGTCAAGCGACAAATCGATCAACCAAAAAACCTGAAGATAGCGATCAAAGTGTCGCAACCAGCACAACCACGCCAATACGGAAAGGCAAAGGAATGATCGACATCAGTCCAACAGCGACGGCTAGTACAACGGCAGCACTCAGCCGTTTGGTTCGTACCCCATCGTACGGTAGCGCAGAGGGCAAGCAATCGAGCTCCCTAGCACCTTACCAATTTGTCGAGGATACGTGTTCCTTTGATTCTGTACCACTGGTGCCTTTGGCTCCTGAAGAAACCCGAAGAAGTGTGCATTTTAGTCCCGAAGCAAAATTCCAAAAAATAAAGTACGAAAGATTGAGAGACGACAATGACGACGTTCCATCGCAAGGCGACGTGGCCGATGGGACCGACCTGTTTCCGATTTCCCAGAAGCAATTGGAAGGGCGTCGTCAGAAGCCGTCCAAGAGCCAATCGGAACGTCTGCACGAAAAGAACAAGCCATCGGACAACCAGACAAGGAAGAAAACAAGTAGCAATGGCAGCAAGAGCGAAAAACCGAAAGACACCCAGCTACGGAAGAAAGCGAACAGTAAGGGCGAACAGCCCAAGCAGAAGCAGCCCGTCACTCCGACGAGGAGGAAATCAAGTAGCAATGACAGCATGGGCAAAGGCAAAGAAAAGCCCAAGGACAAACAGGAGTTGTCGTTTTCACCAAGTCGTCGAATGAAGAAACAGAAGGATTCAACAAGCGACAAGTCACCGGCTTCAGTTGGTGGGGGGGCAACATACTCCCTGCTGTCAGTCGACTCGGAATCCCAAGATGGAGTAAAACGACCAAGTCTTTCTTTCTCACCCAGTCGTCGGATCAAGAAGAAGCGGTCCTCAAACGAGAAGTCTTCGTCCTCCGTGAAGTCCGCGGACGCACGAATGATGACATCTAGAGCGAGTCGAAACAGAGAGTCGCTCCTGGCCCTCAATTCGGATTTACCTGATGGTGGAGATTTCAGCCCGCTGGTGCCCGACGAGGATGGCAAACCTCGAAACGCCAAAGCAAAAGCAGGCTCGAAAAAGCAGTCCAAAACAGACGTGTTGTCTGTTAGCCCAAGCCCTTCCAATGACGGGTCAGAATCTTCAGAATCTCCTAATATTGTGGACGTCGAAGATCCTCATTCCAGCAAAGGTCTTCTCGATGGCGAAGACAAAAGTCCCCCGAAAGACAAGGACACAGCGCTGAGACGACGATGCCTTTGTTTTACAATTAGCATCCTTTGGATTGCACTCCTTGGATTGTTCGTTGGGCTTTCGTTGGCTTGGATCCGGTCGCGTGGTGGTTCATCCGACAAACTCACCGAAATCTACCCCGAGCCGGGAACCGAAGCCTTTGGAGACACGGGCGAGGGTCCCTTGGCACCACCGCCACCAGCATCACCTCCACCACTGCAACCTCCTGCGCCTCTACCTGGTTTGTTCTCACCGCCGTCTCCCACTGGATCGTCAGAACCAGGCTCGCAGATTTTTATGACGGCAGCGCCATCTCCGTCGAGCCCGACCACGAGTCCACAACCAACTGCCAACTCATCATCACTGCCTCCTATTGTCTATCCAGACGGCGATGAATTGACTATGACCAATGAGACTTTGGACCTAATCAATCTTTTGATCACAAGCTCCGTGGATCGAGGAGCAGCTTTGCTGGATCGGTCAACTCCAGAGTTTGCTTCTCTTGTTTGGCTATCTGACAACGTATTCTTGGATACTTATTCCGATAAGCAAAAGGTGCAACGCTTCGTTCTTGGTACCGTGTACTACAGCATGGGCGGAAAGGACTGGACTGAAAACGAATACTGGATGACCGATATTGACGAGTGTCGGTGGTATTCAAGGCGTCGCAGGTTCCCTGCTTGTAACAAGGACGGGGATTATATCAACCTTGAGCTTGCCTACCTGGACGTTAGTGGCACAATTCCCAAGGCGCTTGGGATGCTTTCAAACTCCTTGGAGAGGCTTGACATTGAAGGTGGGCCAACGACATTCGTTAGCGGTACCATCCCTTCCGAGCTGGGCTATCTATCGTTAATGAGAGAATTCCGAATGAGAGACAATCGTCTCTCCGGAGAATTGCCCAGCGAACTCCGCCGATGGACCTTCTTGGAAACCCTGGATTTAAAAGGGAACAATTTGCGGGGCACTCTCCCTTTCGACCATCCGTTTTGGCCATCATTGACGGATGTTGATCTTGGGGAGAATTTCTTGGTGGGTAGTATCCCAACCGGAATTGGCCGACAGGATATGCTCACAAAACTGTTCTTGCAAGACAACTTACTGGATGGCCCAGTACCATCCGAGATTGGAAAGCTCTACAATCTCAAAGACATGTATTTGGACCAGAACAACCTAAAAACATTGCCATCGGAGATCGGTCTCCTCCACCAACTCCAAGACTTGAGGATGGCAGCGAACAGCCTGAATAACGCAATACCCACAGAGATTGGTCTCTTGACTCGGCTTCGTAAGTTTTGTCCTTGGTAAAGGGGAGACGAAGAAGTTGGGGAAACGACTGCTCACTTGTTTTTGTTTGCTTTTCGTTCACAGGCACCGTGTCTCTCACTTTCAATGCATTGACAGGCAGTATCCCAACAGAGGTTCGTTTGTTTGTTCCACATAGTCGTGCTGCTTCAAAAAGTTCACGGAGCACTCATCATTCTTCGTATCAACAATGTTTTGGTTCTTCGTGCAGATTGGCCTTTTGAAAGGCTTGCGAGGTAAGTTCGTTACAATGATGTTTCGAGGAGCTCGTTGCCTTTGGGGATGTATCGCTCATTCGTTTTGTGCTTCCTGCTTTGCAGATCGTATTGACTTGTCTTTCAATAAGCTATCTGGGACAGTCCCTTCCGAAATTGGCGAACTAACTAGAATGAGTACGTGGTTCAGCGCACTTCGAACGCATTACTCGAGTTCACGTGGTTGGAACAGATCGACGACTAACGAATTTCAACCTCTTCTTGTCGCATCACAGAACATTTGCTCTTGCACTCCAACCAACTTTCGGGAGAGCTTCCATCGGAAATTGGCGAATTGGACAGACTCAGTAAGTGCCTTCCTGAATGCAAACGAGTTGGATTCAGTACGTTCAGTACGCTTTTGTCTCACTGCGACTGGACTCTTACTATTTGTCGTCACAGACACGCTTCGAATCGACCAAAACAACATGATGGGCGCAGTCTCGGACGACATTTGCGCCGTGTTCAACACTACGCTACCGTACTTTTACGCGGACTGCAAAGAAATCGATTGCCCCTGTTGTATCTTTTGCTGCGTAGATACGGATGGCTGTTCTTGTCGATTCGAAAGCACCTTTGACCAATATCTGTGCTACTGATAATACTATGGCAATCGTATCGAGTCGAGTCGAGTCGAATCGACGCGTGCAACTCTTGCAGCTACATTCCACCCACACCCCCACACCCCGTGACAACATAGACGAATCAATCAGCAGCGACGGTTTTCCCATGTCACGAGCTAGCTACGGTAGATTTTGCTACCAATAAGTTTTTGTAAATCAAGCAGTTATAGAAGCGGACTGTCACTCGTTACCACCACTACCATGGCCAGCCAACATGGTATCAATAACGTCCAACTCGGAACGGGGACGATCTTCCGATTGCAAAGCACAACTGAATTGTGAGCTTTGTTACGAGTTGCACCTCGACTTGACTGTCCCTCTCCAAACCCATGTTCCGAAAGGACAGGCGGCCTTTGCTTAGCCAATTTTAGCGTCCTTTGAAGGCTTGGAAAATTTACTGTACCAGACTGCTATAGTGGAATAATCAGTCTTGTTGAGTTGAGTCATTTGGCGCTCTGGTTTTGCCACACCAAAATTAACTGTGACAACGGCAGTCATTATTTAGATAGTACCTCAATCAAAAGATAACATGGATTTGAGGTGTTGACATTGGGCTGGACACTAGTTGCCAGGTACGGTACATGTAGCTAGCTAGATGCCCTGCAATGAGTATCATGGCAAGATGCAAAGTCCAAGAGATAGCTGGTGATACCGGTACTATAGATCTTCTTTCTTTACTAATAAAGATCTTGTTGAAAAAGTACAACTTGGCAAATTTTCTGCCTCGAGCGACAGGCAAAAAGAACTGCTCACTAACCTTTGGTTCCTGACAGGGAGTGCTGAACGTGTCAAGGCCTGATTACTACGGTATCAAACTAATAGAAAACCAAACTAGAATTTAAGACAGTTGATTACATTGCAATTTGATGCAAGCTTTAGCTATCTAGCTACCGGTAGCTAGCTAGAGATAATGGATCCTGGCTACCCTTCTAACCTCTGCGACGGTACCGCTGCCCAAAGAAGCATTATCTAGTAAACGAGGTAAACATGTTGTGGTGGCAGCACCTTCTTTGTCTTCGAGGTTCCTGGATTTTTTTGAGGGGCGAGACGTCACGTCCCCCCTTTTCTCACGTCCAGCTATTGAAAGGGCGACATCTACAACACCCCCAATATAGCACCACCCCTGGTAACAACAGCGCCATTCGACATGCATCCAACCAAGTAAGTGACGATCACCCAGCCAGCCAGGAGGAGTACTGGTGCATGATCGCCTTGGCCTAGCTAGCTAGCCAGGGAACCCTATCAATATATACTTTAGAAGGTAACAAACAGCCAAGAAGAGACCAACCTTAGAAGGAGCTGTAGTCTAGCAGTCAGCAAAGCTCCAGGTGGGATTTCGAGGTTTTGCCAGACCGGAACGGGTTAGCTGGATCCTTCCCTTCATTCGTACTCTGGCCAGTCTCATTCATTCAATCCATCACCTGAATCCTCCTGATAATCGAGATATCTATCTACAATACCGCTACCATATACTTGCATGGACGCAAGAAATTCGCTAGCTAGCTAAGACTACTACCCGTACATCCAATCCCCAATCAATCTACCATGTCAGACTCGGAAGGCTCCGGACTGGTGTGCAATGCTTGCGGTTTTGAAGAAGAGTTCATTGCCGATGGCATGATTCCCTGTGAGAAATGCCATCAAGTCTACTATTGCAGCTTGGAATGTCTGAAATGGGATTGGGAGGGAGGGGATCACAGCAATGTCTGTTCTGGATTGCATGGCGCCGGCAATACGAATGATGATGAGGACGAAGAAGAAGAAGCATCCTCCGAAGAAGCATCCTCCGAAGAGACATCGGGGGAATCCTTTCACTCTTCTGTCGACGACGACGAGGCAAGTCCATCAGAAGACAGCGATATTTCCAGTGGGATCCATTCGGAGGAACTGATAGACGAAGACGAAGAAGAGAGCGACACTAGCACCAGTGCATCACTGCAATCACCCCAACCAGCAGCTCCCGTTCATCATGATACTACTGATAATGGTGACAGACCAGGTGGAGAAAAGCGAGATCGATCCGCTTCGCCGTCCCAATCCAATTCCCACAGAAGAAAGACTCCCGAGGACAAACCCCCACCCCACAAAAAACCTACTGGAGGAGAATTTCATCCCGAACAGCAACAACCCATGGAATGGCGCAGTGTCAATGGAAAGATGACACTGGTGCCCAAGAATGCGCCTCGGCAACCACCTCCTCCTGCTGCTGTTCCATATCGAGGGAGATTGCCACCCGCCAATCGAGGAGGAGGCGAGGACGGTGCCATACAACGACACTCTTCGGGGAGTGGGAGACTCCACCGGTATAGTGAACCACCTCCTCTGGTACCGCCGCCACCAGCATCACCACCCAAACAGCCAAAACCGCAAGCACCACCACCACAGTATGAGATTGTAGAGGAGGAAATCATTGAAGAGGTGATTGTTGTGGAAGAAGAAATCATTGAAGAGATTATAGTAAATAGCGACGGCGAATCCATCGGAAACTCGAGTGAATTTCAGAGTGACCAACCCGCACCGGGGTCTTCCACCAATGGTACTGGCAACGCCCCACATGACGAACAAATGCACGTATCGCTATGGCTACACGAACAAGATTCCATCGTATCAACCTTGGACGATGATATGAATTGGGAAATGGACGGCAGCGGGCAGCAACAGCCACAGCGACCGGAACAAGACGAACCACCACCTCTGGTGCATCCGAATCAAATACAACAACAACAACAACAACCACAACGTTCGGAACCAAACCCCGCCGAACAGGGACACCATTCCTCGGGGCGAAACATGTCGAATTCCATGCTGGGAGATGATTTTGACGCGGAAAGTGAGGAAGATGCCGACGTCTTTTTCGTCCCGCAAAAGTCACCAGCAGCACCCAAGCAGGCACCTTCCATTATTGCCGAAGCGGATGCGTCCGCGGGAGGTGCGGCACCCTACCGGCACTCGCAGCAACTACATGCGCACGTGCAGCAGCAGGAACAACCACAAAGCATGAACGAGTCCTTTCCAGCGCCCCAGAAACGAGGATTGTTTGGTCGATTTTTCGCTCGAAACAACAACGCTGATCCACCGCAACCGCAGCAGCAACAAGAACAGCAACAACAACAACAAGCGGTACCACCGCCAGCACCGGCACCATCCCCACCACCACCACCCGCCCCAGCGCCACCCCCAGAAGCACCAGCTACTAAGAGCAACTTTTTTGGATGGGGATCCCGAGCAACTCCCACGAACGATACGACAGATCCACCACCGCATGCGGCACCTGTCTCACCACCCGCTCCGGCACCCGCGCCAAGGCCACCGTCACCACCACCGAGGGAGCCTTCGCCCCCGCCGATGGAGCCGCCATCACCACCACCGCCAGAGACAAAACGCCAACCACCACAAGATCGACCGCCCCCGCAGCGACGGAACCGGCCATCTGGGACTGGCGGACGAAAGGGGAAATTGCTGCCTACCAACGATTTGCTAGGGCCGTCCACATTTGATCAACGGCCTCCATCGAGTGGTCGGACCGACAATCCCTTCAAAATGTCGCTCGCACGATCGTATCAACGATCGCTACGCCATCGTGAAATGATGTCGCAATCAGAAAGACTAGCTGCCACAAGGGCCGACGAAGAATACGAACAACAACAACGACAACAAGAAGCCATAGAAGAAGAAGAAGAACAACAACCTACCCAAAATATCTTTACAGGTCAATGCAACGCGTGCGAAATGAATGCCGATTTTGTTTCGGAAGGGCTCAAACCATGTCCTTACTGCCATGAAGTTCATTACTGCACGGATGATTGTTTGCAATGGGATTGGGAAAGCGGGGGACACGCTCAATCATGCAGGGGTGCTGAGTTAGCGGGGGATACACGGTTCAACCCAGCCACAGGGGCCGGTCAAAATAGTGACAGTGACGGTAATATGTCCATTGAAGCATTTGAGGAAGGACAAGAGGAGGTGGCACTCCCAGGTACCTTCATGGATCGAGTCGCTGCAGCGAAAGCATCTGTTGCAGCACAGAAACAGCTCAACTCACAGCCACAGCCACCTGAAAAAAGTAGAGAACCATTGATGTGCGCGGCTTGTGGTATTGATGCGGAGTTTGTAAGAGAGAGATCTCACATGCCTTTGCATGGCCACCCTGTTTCCAGTGCCACTGCTTACAATCAGGGGAGCAGTAATGCGCCTTCTTGCATTTCTGGCAAGGGATCATCCCATCAGGAACAAACTCAGCATCCATGTTGCATGCCTGGCACTTGAGTGGAGTGCTCTTGGCAGCCTCCGCCCTGGATCTTTTCAGAGCTTCCATCACTCCACCCTTCTGGGCAGGCTGTTCATTGGGATCAAAGGCATCAATGACTCTTGGTCCGAGTCATGCCTGGCTTGTTCCTCTTCCACAAAGATGCTCTGGCTCCACGATTCCCCTCACATGCCTTTGCATGGCCACCCTGTTTCCAGTGCCACAGCCTGCAGTCCGGGGAGCAGTAATGTGCCTTCTTGCATTTCTGGCAAGGGAGCATCCCATCAGGAACAAACTCAGCATCCATGTTGCATGCCTGGCACTTGAGTGGAGTGCTCTTGGCAGCCTCCGCCCTGGATCTTTTCAGAGCTTCCATCACTCCACCCTTCTGGGCAGGCAGTTCATTGGATCAAATGCTTGAATGGACTCATCCATACCTGGGACATGCCTGTCTTGCTCCTCTTCCACAACAGATGCTCTTGCTCCACGATTCCCCTCACATGCCTTTGCATGGCCACCCTGTTTCCAGTGCCACTGCTTACAATCAGGGAGCAGTAATGTGCCTTCTTGCATTTCTGGCAAGGGAGCATCCCATCAGGAACAAACTCAGCATCCATGTTGCATGCCTGGCACTTGAGTGGAGTGCTCTTGGCAGCCTCCGCCCTGGATCTTTTCAGAGCTTCCATCACTCCACCCTTCTGGCAGGCTGTTCATTGGGATCAAAGGCATCAATTGACTCTTGGTCCGAGTCATGCCTGGCTTGTTCCTCTTCCACAATAGATGCTCTGGCTCCACGATTCCCCTCACATGCCTTTGCATGGCCACCCTGTTTCCAGTGCCACAGCCTGCAGTCCGGGGAGCAGTAATGTGCCTTCTTGCATTTCTGGCAAGGGAGCATCCCATCAGGAACAAACTCAGCATCCATGTTGCATGCCTGGCACTTGAGTGGAGTGCTCTTGGCAGCCTCCGCCCTGGATCTCTTCAGAGCTTCCATCACTCCACCCTTCTGGCAGGCTGTTCATTGGGATCAAAGGCATCAATTGACTCTTGGTCCGAGTCATGCCTGGCTTGTTCCTCTTCCAATAGATGCTCTGGCTCCACGATTCCCTCACATGCCTTTGCATGGCCACCCTGTTTCCAGTGCCACAGCCTGCAGTCGGGAGCAGTAATGTGCCTTCTTCATTTCTGGCAAGGGACATCCCATCAGAACAAACTCAGAATCCATGTTGCATGCCTGGCACTTGAGTGGAGTGCTCTTGGCAGCCTCCGCCCTGGATCTTTCAGAGCTTCCATCACTCCACCCTTCTGGGCAGGCTTTTCATTGGGATCAAAGGCATTAATGACTCTTGGTCCGAGTACATGCCTGCTTGTTCCTCTTCCACAAAGATGCTCTGGCTCCACGATTCCCCTCACATGCCTTTGCATGGCCACCCTGTTTCCAGTGCCACAGCCTGCAGTCCGGGGAGCAGTAATGTGCCTTCTTGCATTTCTGGCAAGGGAGCATCCCATCAGGAACAAATCAGCATCCATGTTGCATGCTGGCACTTGAGTGGAGTGCTCTTGGCAGCCTCCGCCCTGGATCTTTTCAGAGCTCCATCACTCCACCCTTCTGGGCAGGCTGTTCATTGGGATCAAAGGCATAATTGACTCTTGGTCCGAGTCATGCTGGCTTGTTCCTCTTCCCAATAGATGCTCTGGCTCCACGATTCCCCTCACATGCCTTTGCATGGCCACCCTGTTTCCAGTGCCACAGCCTGCATCCGGGGAGCAGTAATGTGCCTTCTTGCATTTCTGGCAAGGACATCCCATCAGGAACAAACTCAGCATCCATGTTGCATGCCTGGCACTTGAGTGGAGTGCTCTTGCAGCCTCCGCCCTGGATCTCTTCAGAGCTTCCATCACTCCACCCTTCTGGGCAGGCAGTTCATTGGGATCAAATGCTTGAATGGACTCATCCATACCTGGGACATGCCTGTCTTGCTCCTCTTCCACAACAGATGCTCTGGCTCCACGATTCCCCTCACATGCCTTTGCATGGCCACCCTGTTTCCAGTGCCACAGCCTGCAGTCCGGGGAGCAGTAATGCGCCTTCTTGCATTTCTGGCAAGGGATCATCCCATCAGGAACAAAATCAGCATCCATGTTGCATGCCTGGCACTTGAGTGGAGTGTTCTTGGCAGCCTCTGTTCTGGATCTTTTAAGAGCTTCCATCACACCACCCTGCTGAACTGGTTGTGCTGTTTTGGCCTTGCAAATGTGTTTGTGGCCACCATCGTCCCAATCCCACTCCATACAGTCCTCTGAGCAATAGTTCGCCTCATGACATTTAGTGCAAGATATCATCCCAGCAGAAACATAGGCAGCATCCATGTCGCATGCCTGGCATTGAGTTTAAAGTCGTCAATTGACTCTTGGTCAGAATCCTGCCTGGCTTGTTTCTCGTCCACAATGGATTCTCTTGCTGCATTGTTCCCCTCACAGGCCTTTGCGTGGCCACCCTGTTTCCAGTGCCACTGCTGACAATCAGGGGAGCAGTAGTGGACATTCTTGCATTTCTGGCAAGTGATCATTCGGTCAGGAACAAACTCAGAGTTGATGTTGCATGAATGGCAATTGAGAGGGGTGCTCTTGTGGGGCTCTGCCCCAGATCTTTTCTCCAGCCCTGCATCTTCTTCTTGAAATGCTTCATTTGGCATGTTGTTTTTGTCAATGAAAGCTTTCTTCTGAAGTTCTGCTATTTCACGCTCAGTTTTGGGGTTGCAATTGTGTTCATGGCCTCCATCATCCCAATCCCACTCCATACAGTCCAGTGAGCAATATATCACCTCATGACATTTGTTGCAAGGTTTCATCCCACCAGGAACATAGTCTCGGTCCAATCCACAAGCATTGCACTTTCTGATTTCTTCAGTGTTGGATATTTTGGATTGTGATAGGTCCCCTGACAAGTTCTGTTCATTGGTTGTTTCTCCTGGTGTTGATGTGTTGTCGTTGTTGTCTTCAAAAGCAGCGATGGAGAGATTGTCGTCGCCATCCAGTGAGGCTGCCGCTTTGGATAGCTGCTGCTCTGCTTCTGCTCTTTCTGCGTGGGACAAGCCACGACACTGATGAACATGGCCGCCCCTCGACCAATCCCAATCCAAGCAATCATTTGAGCAGTAGGCAACAAGATGGCAGTGTATGCATGTTTTCATGCCATCTGACACATATGCTTCATTCATACCACATGCTTTGCATCTAACAGTATCATCAAGTCCTGTAGCTGTGTTGACTGCAGCTTGTTGGGTGGCAGACTCCACATTTGAAGCTCGTGTTTCGTCTTCCTCAAAAGCGTCAATGGACATGTCATCTACTTGATCATCATGTACAATGTCCATTGGAATTGGTCCAGTTTTTGCATTGTCACAATTCCTACCATGATCTCCATGTTTCCAATCCCATTCCATACAATCAGATGAACAGTAGAAAACCTTGTTGCACCTGGAACATGGCGTCATCCCTTCAGGAATGAACTCAGCATCCATGTTACAAGCTTTGCAGTTTCTGGCAATCACATGAGCAGTGGACGTAGTTTCAGGTGAGTGGGACTTCAATTTAGCAGCTTTCAAGCGAGCGAGGAGACTTCCTGGCTGCTGTGATGGCTCATTTTGGGCTTCTGAGAATGGTTCAATTGACATATCTGAATCAGACCCAGTCGAAGCCTTATCTATTTCCATGTCATTGTTGTCATCATTGTTGGCTTCATTCCTTGATTGCCTTTACAGTCTCTTAAGTGCCCACCATCCTTCCAGTGCCATTGAAGACATTCAAATGAACAATAAGGAACTTGGAAACAACGTGGGCATTTCTTGATGCCCCTCTTGGCTACAAAACAACTCACCGCATCAATACACAAGCCGCGCACATCAATGGTTCTCTACTTTTTTCAGGTGGCTGTGGCTGTGAGTTGAGCTGTTTCTGTGCTGCAACAGATGCTTTCGCTGCAGCGACTCGATCCATGAAGGTACCTGGGAGTGCCACCTCCTCTTGTCCTTCCTCAAATGCTTCAATGGACATATTACCGTCACTGTCACTATTTTGACCGGCCCCTGTGGCTGGGTTGAACCGTGTATCCCCCGCTAACTCAGCACCCCTGCATGATTGAGCGTGTCCCCCGCTTTCCCAATCCCATTGCAAACAATCATCCGTGCAGTAATGAACTTCATGGCAGTAAGGACATGGTTTGAGCCCTTCCGAAACAAAATCGGCATTCATTTCGCACGCGTTGCATTGACCTGTAAAGATATTTTGGGTAGGTTGTTTGTTCTTCTTCTTCTTATGGCTTCTTGTTGTCGTTGTTGTTGTTCGTATTCTTCGTCGGCCCTTGTGGCAGCTAGTCTTTCTGATTGCGACATCATTTCACGATGGCGTAGCGACCGTTGATACGATCGTGCGAGCGACATTTTGAAGGGATTGTCGGTCCGACCACTCGATGGAGGCCGTTGATCAAATGTGGACGGCCCTAGCAAATCGTTGGTAGGCAGCAATTTCCCCTTTCGTCCGCCAGTCCCAGATGGCCGGTTCCGTCGCTGCGGGGGCGGTCGATCTTGTGGTGGTTGGCGTTTTGTCTCTGGCGGTGGTGGTGATGGCGGCTCCATCGGCGGGGGCGAAGGCTCCCTCGGTGGTGGTGACGGTGGCCTTGGCGCGGGTGCCGGAGCGGGTGGTGAGACAGGTGCCGCATGCGGTGGTGGATCTGTCGTATCGTTCGTGGGAGTTGCTCGGGATCCCCATCCAAAAAAGTTGCTCTTAGTAGCTGGTGCTTCTGGGGGTGGCGCTGGCGGGGTGGTGGTGGTGGGATGGTGCGGTGCTGGCGGTGGACCGCTTGTTGTTGTTGTTGCTGTTCTTGTTGCTGCTGCGGTTGCGGTGGATCAGCGTTGTTGTTTCGAGCGAAAAATCGACCAAACAATCCTCGTTTCTGGGGCGCTGGAAAGGACTCGTTCATGTTTTGTGGTTGTTCCTGCTGCTGCACGTGCGCATGGAGTTGCTGCGAGTGCCGGTAGGGTGCCGCACCTCCCGCGGACGCATCCGCTTCGGCAATAATGGAAGGTGCCTGTTGGGTGCTGCTGGTGACTTTTGCGGGACGAAAAAGACGTCGGCGTCTTCCTCACTTTCCGCGTCAAAATCATCTCCCAGCATGGAATTCGACATGTTTCGCCCCGAGGAATGGTGTCCCTGTTCGGCGGGGTTTGGTTCCGAATGTTGTGGTTGTTGTTGTGTTGTTGTTGTTGTATTTGATTCGGATGCACCAGAGGTGGTGGTTCGTCTTGTTCCGGTCGTGGCTGTTGCTGCCCGCTGCCGTCCATTTCCCAATTCATATCATCGTCCAAGGTTGATACGATGGAATCTTGTTCGTGTAGCCATAGCGACACGTGCATTTGTTCGTCATGTGGGGCGTTGCCAGTACCATTGGTGGAAGACCCCGGTGCGGGTTGGTCACTCTGGAATTCACTCGAGTTTCCGATGGATTCGCCGTCGCTATTTACTATTACTCTTCAATGATTTCTTCTTCCACAACAATCACCTCTTCAATAATCTCCTCCTCTACAATCTCGTACTGTGGTGGTGGTGCTTGCGGCTTTGGCTGTTTGGGTGGTGATGCTGGTGGCGGCGGTACCAGAGGAGGTGGTTCACTATACCGGTGGAGTCTCCCACTCCCCGAAGAGTGTCGTTGTATGGCACCGTCCTCGCCTCCTCCTCGATTGGCGGGTGGCAATCTCCCTCGATATGGAACAGCAGCAGGAGGAGGAGGAGGTTGCCGAGGGCATTCTTGGGCACCAGTGTCATCTTTCCATTGACACTGCGCCATTCCATGGGTTGTTGCTGTTCGGGATGAAATTCTCCTCCAGTAGGTTTTTTGTGGGGTGGGTTTGAGTCGCTGCAGCGAAAGCATCTGTTGCAGCACAGAAACAGCTCAACTCACAGCCACAGCCACAGCCACCTGAAAAAAGTAGAGAACCATTGATGTGCGCGGCTTGTGGTATTGATGCGGAGTTTGTGCCAGAGGGCATCAAGAAATGCCCACGTTGTTTCCAAGTTCCTTATTGTTCATTTGAATGTCTTCAATGGCACTGGAAGGATGGTGGGCACTTAAGAGACTGTAAAGGCAATCAAGGAAATGAAGCCAACAATGATGACAACAATGACATGGAAATAGATAAGGCTTCGACTGGGTCTGATTCAGATATGTCAATTGAACCATTCTCAGAAGCCCAAAATGAGCCATCACAGCAGCCAGGAAGTCTCCTCGCTCGCTTGAAAGCTGCTAAATTGAAGTCCCACTCACCTGAAACTACGTCCACTGCTCATGTGATTGCCAGAAACTGCAAAGCTTGTAACATGGATGCTGAGTTCATTCCTGAAGGGATGACGCCATGTTCCAGGTGCAACAAGGTTTTCTACTGTTCATCTGATTGTATGGAATGGGATTGGAAACATGGAGATCATGGTAGGAATTGTGACAATGCAAAAACTGGACCAATTCCAATGGACATTGTACATGATGATCAAGTAGATGACATGTCCATTGACGCTTTTGAGGAAGACGAAACACGAGCTTCAAATGTGGAGTCTGCCACCCAACAAGCTGCAGTCAACACAGCTACAGGACTTGATGATACTGTTAGATGCAAAGCATGTGGTATGAATGAAGCATATGTGTCAGATGGCATGAAAACATGCATACACTGCCATCTTGTTGCCTACTGCTCAAATGATTGCTTGGATTGGGATTGGTCGAGGGGCGGCCATGTTCATCAGTGTCGTGGCTTGTCCCACGCAGAAAGAGCAGAAGCAGAGCAGCAGCTATCCAAAGCGGCAGCCTCACTGGATGGCGACGACAATCTCTCCATCGCTGCTTTTGAAGACAACAACGACAACACATCAACACCAGGAGAAACAACCAATGAACAGAACTTGTCAGGGGACCTATCACAATCCAAAATATCCAACACTGAAGAAATCAGAAAGTGCAATGCTTGTGGATTGGACCGAGACTATGTTCCTGGTGGGATGAAACCTTGCAACAAATGTCATGAGGTGATATATTGCTCACTGGACTGTATGGAGTGGGATTGGGATGATGGAGGCCATGAACACAATTGCAACCCCAAAACTGAGCGTGAAATAGCAGAACTTCAGAAGAAAGCTTTCATTGACAAAAACAACATGCCAAATGAAGCATTTCAAGAAGAAGATGCAGGGCTGGAGAAAAGATCTGGGGCAGAGCCCCACAAGAGCACCCCTCTCAATTGCCATTCATGCAACATCAACTCTGAGTTTGTTCCTGACCGAATGATCACTTGCCAGAAATGCAAGAATGTCCACTACTGCTCCCCTGATTGTCAGCAGTGGCACTGGAAACAGGGTGGCCACGCAAAGGCCTGTGAGGGGAACAATGCAGCAAGAGAATCCATTGTGGACGAGAAACAAGCCAGGCAGGATTCTGACCAAGAGTCAATTGACGACTTTAAACTCAAATGCCAGGCATGCGACATGGATGCTGCCTATGTTTCTGCTGGGATGATATCTTGCACTAAATGTCATGAGGCGAACTATTGCTCAGAGGACTGTATGGAGTGGGATTGGGACGATGGTGGCCACAAACACATTTGCAAGGCCAAAACAGCACAACCAGTTCAGCAGGGTGGTGTGATGGAAGCTCTTAAAAGATCCAGAACAGAGGCTGCCAAGAACACTCCACTCAAGTGCCAGGCATGCAACATGGATGCTGATTTTGTTCCTGATGGGATGATCCCTTGCCAGAAATGCAAGAAGGCGCATTACTGCTCCCCGGACTGCAGGCTGTGGCACTGGAAACAGGGTGGCCATGCAAAGGCATGTGAGGGGAATCGTGGAGCCAGAGCATCTGTTGTGGAAGAGGAGCAAGACAGGCATGTCCCCGGTATGGATGAGTCCATTCAAGCATTTGATCCCAATGAACTGCCTGCCCAGAAGGGTGGAGTGATGGAAGCTCTGAAGAGATCCAGGGCGGAGGCTGCAAGAGCACTCCACTCAAGTGCCAGGCATGCAACATGGATGCTGAGTTTGTTCCTGATGGGATGCTCCCTTGCCAGAAATGCAAGAAGGACATTACTGCTCCCCGGACTGCAGGCTGTGGCACTGGACAGGGTGGGGGGGGGGGGGGGCCCCCCATTTTTGGGCAAAAAAAGGGTGGGGGGGGGGGGCATTTTTTTATTGTGGGAAGGGGAATCGTGGAGCCAGAGCATCTATTGTGGAAGAAGAACAAGCCAGGCATGATTCTGACCAAGAGTCGATTGATGCCTTTGATCCCAATGAACTGCCTGCCCAGAAGGGTGGAGTGATGGAAGCTCTGAAAAAATCCAGGGCGGAGGCTGCCAAGAGCACTCCACTCAAGTGCCAGGCATGCAACATGGATGCTGAGTTTGTTCCTGAAGGCATGTTGGACTGTGACTGTCACAATGTGAAGTACTGTTCTCCTGATTGTCAGCAGTGGCACTGGAGGATACACAAGAATTCTTGCAGGGGGAGTCATAGGCTGGATCAAAGATTCCACAAAAGTGATGATTTGGGTGATGAGGATTCAATTGAACCATTTGATCTCGAAGAGCAAAATCAGTTGCAGGGTGGAGCTTTGGCAGCCCTCCGGAGATTGAGAGCTCAGAATTCCAAGAATCACCATTCTTCTGCAACAAGCTCTTCGTCTGTTCTTGGCTCGTCCAAGAATGCTTCGGTGGTGTCTGATCTTAGTGGCTCCAAGAGTGCTTCAGTTGTGTCGGATTACAGTGGTTCTAAAACTACTGCTTCATCAGTACAAAGTGAGTCAAGTGAGAGTGATGAAGCAGAAGAACTGGTGTGTCAGACATGTGGAATGGAAGAGGCGTTTGTTGAAGATGCCATGAAAGCTTGTCCCTCCTGCTCGAAAGTTCACTACTGCTCTGACGATTGCCTGGAATGGGATTGGAGCAATGGTGGACACAAGGATATCTGTGTAGGACTTCACCCAGAGTTGGACGAAACTTCAGTTCCAAGTGAAGTTGTGGATGAAAGGAGCAGTAATTCAAAAGCTCAGGTCAGATGTTCTGCCTGCAGCATGGAATCTGAGTTTGTTCCCGAAGGTATGCTGAGCTGTGACTGTGACAATGTGACGTATTGCTCCCCAGACTGCCAGCAGTGGCACTGGAGGATACACAAGAGTGCTTGCAGGGGAAGTCACAAGATTGACAAGATGGACCAAGCACTTGGCAGAGAAGTACCCCTGTCTGATGATGAATCTGTTGAACCATTTGATCCCAACCAACAACCTGGCAAGCAAGGCACTCCAGGTGTCCTGGCAGCTATTGCAGCTTCCAAAGCACAGACTGCCAAAGCCAGTGTCAAATGTTCTGCCTGTAGCATGGACTCTGAGTTTGTTCCTGAAGGCATGCTGAGCTGTGACTGCAACAATGTGAGGTATTGCTCGCCAGACTGTCAACAGTGGCACTGGAGATTGCACAAGAGTACTTGCAAGGGAAGTCACAAGATGGATCAAGCACCTGGCAGAGAAGAACCCCTTTCTGATGATGAATCAATTGAAGCTTTTGATCCCAACCAACAACAGACCAACCAAGGCACTTCACTGGCAGCCCTACGAAGACTGAAGACACAGAGCTCCAAAAGCCAATACTCTTCTCGAACAAACTCTTCGTCTGTTCTTGGTGCCTCCAAAAATGCATCCCTTGCATCTGATCTCAGTGGGTCCAAGAATGAATCTATTGAAACTGATCTTAGTGTATCCAAGGCATCTGCTTCATCAGTCCAGAGTGAGTCAAGTGGGTTGGAAGAGGTAGAAGAACTTGTGTGCCAGGCATGTGGCATGGAAGAAGCTTTTGTTGAAGATGCAATGAAAGCTTGTCCCTCCTGTTCGAAAGTTCATTACTGCTCTGAGGAATGCCTAGAATGGGATTGGAGCAATGGTGGACACAAGGATGCCTGTGTCGGACTTCACCCAGAGTTGGACGAGACTACAGTTCAAAGTGAAGTTGTGGATGAACGTGCCAGTGTTATGAAATCTCATGTCAAATGTTCTGCATGTTGTATGGATTCTGAGTATGTACCGGAAGGCATGTTGAGCTGTGACTGTGACAATGTGAAGTATTGCTCGCCGGACTGCCAACAGTGGCACTGGAGGATACACAAGGCTTCCTGTAAGGGAAGCCACAGGACGGATCAAACACCTGGCAGAGCAGACCCCCTGTCTGATGATGAATCTGTTGAACCTTTTGATCCGGACCAACCTAGAAACCAAGGCACTTCGGGTGTCTTAGCAGCTATTGCAGCTTCCAAAGCACAGACTGCCAAAGCTAGCGTCAAATGTTCTTCCTGCGGTACAGATTCTGAGTTTGTGCCGGAAGGCATGCTGAGCTGTGACTGCAACAATGTGAAGTATTGCTCACCAGACTGCCAGCAATGGCACTGGAGGATACACAAGACTACTTGTAGCGGAAGTCACAAATTGGATGAAACTGCCAAAAGTTCAGGAAGGAGGCAGGACTCTGATACTGAGTCCTCATATGCATCAATTGAACCCTTTGATGACAAGGGGGGAAAGAATGCAGGTACTATTGGTGCAGTTGCCGTGGAACCGGCAACTGCTGTGGAATCAGCAACGAAAGATGAGTCAGACTCGTCATTTGCATCAAGTGAACCCTCTGATGCCAAGAAGATAAAGCGAGCTGGTGCCATTGGTGCTGTTGCTGCTTCCACAGCAGTTGCTACACAAGTTGCTATGAAAGATCAGTCAGACTCCTCATATGCGTCAAGTGAACCATTTGATGCAAAGGAAGAAAAGCAAGCAGGTGCCATTGCTGCAGTTGCTGCATCCACAGCAGTTGCTGCACAATCAGGTACAAGAGATGAGGTTGCTGTCGAGTCTGCCAAACTGCCGCGAGATTCTTTGTCTTTGGAAGGCTCATTGAAGAGTTCCTCGGTCACTCAAATGTCACACTTTGAGGTAGAAGAAATGCAAGAGCCTACACAAAGATTTCGAACTTATCGTGAACTTCTTTTCACAGCTGTATCTGAAGTTATGGTGCCTTTTGTGGAAAAAATGGGCAATAGCATTATGTCCTCCAATGAAGAAACCAAACCTATGCTTGTTGGAGATATTGAGTCTGGATCTGCGAGCAGTGACAGCGATAGTACCAGCTTTGCGAGTGCTGTGCAATCTTCCGATGATGACAGCGAGCTGTCCACAAAGCTCCAACAATATCTTGCTAAGAACACGAGTGGAGCAGTGCAGCTTGGTGTCCCCACGGATGATGGAGTGCTGCCGACGTTTGTGGATTCATCGAGAATGGAATCGGCTGCTCCCACTCCTTCTGCTTTGATGAGCATTGGAAAACAGGAGAAGCCACCTTCCAACCCCTCCGAGAAGCCGCAAAATCAGCAGGGTTCTAGCATTGCTCCCGTGCCACTTGCTCCGGTCGTAAGCAATCTGGCTCCCCCAAGCGACATCGAAAGCGCGGATTCTGACAGGGGAAATTCCGCTCAACTACATGCGCCATTGCCTGTTGACCGCAGGAAGTTATTCAGAGAGCGTTGCATCAAGATCCAACTTGTCCTGATCACTGCTGCGTTCTGTATTATGCTTGGCTTTTTGATCCGGCTTGGTCCCCACGACCATGAAGACGACCAACCGTCCGTTCCAGCTACCCCGAGACCAATTGCTCCGGTGGCCACTATCCCCACGGTGACTCCGTCGCCGCAAGTCCCCACGATTCCGCCCTCCACACTTCCGCCTTCCAATTTACCTCCTACTGTGGCCCCAACCACCGAAATATCAGCACCTCCAACTTCGCTCTTCCCAGTAGACGAATTGTTCACTTTCCTTGTATCCATGTCATTTGATAATGGCGAAACTCTAAACGAAGTTGGTTCACCACAGGATCTTGCTTACGAATGGATGCTGTCAGATCCAACTTTGGGAGAGTACTCGAGTGACAGGATCTTGCAACGTTTCGCCTTGGCGACCTTTTACTATAGCACCGGCGGAGATGCATGGGAAGAGAACAATCTCTGGTTGACATACACGGACGAATGCAAATGGTTTTCACGAACAGCGAGCTATCCTGTTTGTAAATCAAATCAAATGGTCACACTTGAGCTTGATTTCAACAATCTCCAAGGCTCTCTCCCTGCAGATCTTGCTTTGTTGAGCAGGCTCGAAAGAGTTGAACTAAGTGGAGGGCCTGATGTATATCTCTCAGGCCAGGTGCCGTCCGAGCTTGGACTATTGACAAGCCTCGATTCCTTCAGTCTTCGAGGCAATCAGTTGAGTGGATCGGTTCCCTCAGAGCTCGGGCAATGGAGCTTGGTCCGGACTTTGAATCTTAGTCTTAACCGATTCGGAGGGAAAGTTCCGTCAGAGATAGGTCGTCTGGCAAGGCTCAGCGAAATCTTCTTGGGGACGAATGCGTTTTCCGGCCCTCTCCCTTCTGACATCGGGGAGGCCACGAAGCTGTTTCGGTTGTCGCTTGGAGCAAATCAATTCTCAGGTGCTTTGCCAACGGAAGTTGGAAAGCTCAGTGAGCTCCGGTACATCTATATGGAAACAAATCGGGTATCTTCTATCCCAAGCGAAATCGGGTTGCTGGAAAACCTTATCGTTTTGGCAATGTTCGAGAATTCTTTGGCAAATGCTCTTCCCACAGAGATTGGCGAACTCAGTGAGCTCAGGAGCTTGCTGCTCGGTAACAATTCCTTGAGTTCCAGTATACCTTCTGACATTGGAAAGCTAGGAGCTCAGCTCGGTAAGTGTCTATCGCGGGATTCCATTCAATCCTCTGCCTTCATCCTCATGAGTTCCCTTCTTAATCGTTGTGGTTTATTGCAGGCAACCTAGACTTGTCTTCCAACAGCTTGATCGGGGCTATTCCCTCGGAACTTGGCCTCCTGGGTCTCCTCCGTGAGTTTGCGTCCTTCGACTCCAGTGCCGAGAATTCCCCGCACGTGCCGTCTGACTGACATCATATTCCTTGTCTCATTTAAGGTACCCTTGAGCTGCAAGACAACAAGCTCTCTGGAACTGTTCCCAATGAGCTGGCTGCTTTAGGGCGACTGAGTAAGCTATCATATCGCTTCCGTCCTCGCTCAAATGTTTCGTTTCTAAATCGCTTCATTGCCTCTCTCTGAATAGATACCATCCGGTTGGATTCCAATGACCTTACTGGGGAGGTCCCTATGCCTGTTTGCGAATCATTCTCTTCCTCTCTTCCACTCTTCTATGCTGACTGTCCCAATGAGATTGAATGCGATTGCTGCACCTACTGTTGCTCTGACGATCTGTGCACTTGCGTCCATACTGGAACGGAGATGGACTTCTTGTGCTAGAAGGATAAACCTAGCTAGTTCAAATCTATCTAACGTTTCTAGAAAGTACCCTGGCCCAGTGATCTACTCTAGCTCGAGTTTCGGGAAGAACTGCAAACTTGAGCACACTACGATGTATGTAGGCAACACTTGGGGAAAGAGATTCCCTCGCCTCGTTTCTGCGCGCCATTTCCCGTGGCATGCGAGCCTGCACTTGTTTAAAAAGGGATCAACATGGAAAGAACATGTAGCTAGTTTACTGGACAGTTATGAAGAGAAACAACCGGTAGCGAGAGAGCCTCTTCTTCTGGAACATTTCTCTCAAGTCCCTCAGAGCTCAATAGCACACTGATCCGGCGCAACAGAAGCAAGTGTGCACCTGCATTCAGTGAGCTGGTCGAAACAGCAAAAGAGGCAGCAAGGGCAATTCACTTCTAGGCAGTCGGCAAACAAGGCCGCGCCAGAGGTATCGATGGCGACGCAGAAAGTCGATGGGATATCTCCTGTCAAGCTATTCTTGTCTATGCGCATGATGTCTGAAGGAACAGAGAGTGACAGTGAGCATCGGCACAAGAACTGAATTCACACAAGAACCTCCGCACGCTTACTCAGTTGGTTCAGGAAAACATAGTCATCGGGAACGGTGCCGGTCAGGAGGTTGTCATTCACCAGCAACAGGTCTGCGCATTTGCAAGGGAGCGTTACTAGGTCAGTCGTCGAATGTCGCCAGAAACAAAAAGGGGGAAAATGGAATTACTCACTTAGGCGGGTAAGGTCCCCCAAGTCAGTTGGCAATGGTCCCGTGAACATGTTCTCTGACAGATTCAAACCTAACAAAAGAAATCGGAGCTGCAGTTGTTAGCACTCTTGCCTACCGTCACCAAGGTCACCAGACAACAACTTACGTTCAAGATTGAGCAAGTTTCCAAGGGATGGCATATTGCCAGCAATACCATTATCACTGATATCAAGATCTCTCAGGTTGGTAAGTGTGGTAATGTCAACAGGAGCCGCACCACCAACATTGTTGGATGGCATCCTGAAAACACGCAAATTGGTGAGGCCGCCCATCATCGTCGGGAAAGTTTCAAACCGATTCATTCCCAAGTTGAGCTCCTCCAGATTGGTAAGTCGTTCAATCTGCTGAGTGGGGTTCCCTGCAAAAAGATTGTCTTCCAAGTTCAGATCGCTGAGCTGCGTGAGCGCAATAATTTCCAATGGCAGCTCGCCCACGAGGTTGTTGGCTCCCAGATCCAAGCCGGTGAGCCCTGATAACCTGCTAAATTGGGTTGGGATGCTTCCGTCAAGTTCATTGTTATGCAAGTCGAGCGTCTGGAGCCTTGTGTTTAAACCTAGCTCAGTTGGAATTTCTCCTCCGATACTATTCCCCCGCAGCACCAGCGAATTCAATGCAGGCAATGACCCCAAACTTGTAGGAATTTGCCCGCCCAAAGCACCGGAGCCAAAATCGTTCCGGATGCTTACCGTCGTTACACCACTCAACAGAGACAGCTCTGCTGGTAGGGTACCTTGGACATTGTTGAAATCAAGCGACAGGACAGCAAATTCACGGTTTCCATCGCAAGGGGTGCTCGTGGAGAACCACAAGCATTCATCTTGATCAGTCAACCACCCGTCATTGTTCGTCCATGCGTCTCCTTCGGTGCTATAGTAAAACGTCGCAAGTGCCCACCTCGAAAGGCGTTTTTCATCGCTGTAGAACTCAAGCCGTTCGTTGTTCAGAAGCCACTGGTAGGCAGCGTATTGCGGTGAGTCAGTGTCACTAAAGAATTCATCACCGTTGGGACCACTCGATGTCAGCAACTGTTGGAGTTGCTGGTCAATTGGAAGAGTGGGAGGGGAAGTAAGAGGTCCAAGCGCAGGGTCCCTTGTCCTGGGAGCCTGAGTTGGCGTAGGTGTGGTGATAGCTGGTACTGGTGGCGAATTTGGTGGGTTGTTCGGGGAAGGAACCGGATTCGACACAGGCAACGGGGATGGCGAAGGCAGAGGGCCTGGAGGTTGGGTGTTGCCGCCACCGTTATTGTTGTTGTTGTTGTCGTTGTTGTTGTCCAGTAGCAAATAAACAAGAATACCCGCGCCAATACCAGCCAAAAGCATTAGGATGCCAACGCCAATGGCGCAATAGAAACCTCTGACCATGTACTGACGTCGTTTCTGAGATTCTTCGTCAGGGTCAACTACGACCAAGACTGGCTTCGAATTTGGTCTTCTTGAATTGACCTGACGCCCTTGCCTATGATGCTGAGGTCTCGGCCGTGTTCTTGACTGTTGCTGGTTGTAGTTCACTGCTTGCTTAGCTGGACCAGGCCTGCCCTCCGACACGGGAGTATCATCTTCCGATGATTCGGATTCTTCGACAGAAGAAACGTCTGATGATTCGTCTGAGCTGGAATCAAAGTCGAGATATTCCCTCCTTCTTCGACGGCCAAACAACGCCCTCTTTCTCATTCGACGCCGGTCTCTTCTCTCTAGGCGCTTTCTGCGACGATACGATTCAGAGGATTCGTCGTCAGTTGTTGAATCTTCAGACGATTCATCTGACGAAGCGTCCTTCTTCCTTCCTTTCCTCTTCGAACGCTTGGTCTTCTTGCCTTTCTTTTGGGCCTCACTTTCCTCAGACTCTTCTGTAGAAGTGGGAGTCGACTCCGACGTTTTCTTCTTCTTCTTTCGCTTGTCAGAACTCTCTTCTTCCGAAGTTTCCTCGCTGCTCGATTCTTCTGAGCTTTCTTCTTCCGAGCTCTCTTCTTCACTGCTTTCCTCCTCTTCTTCCTCACTCTCTGACTCTTTTGGCTTCTTTTTCTTTACTTTCTTTGGTACTGGCTTAACTTTCTTCTTCTTAGGCTTTGTCTTCTTGGCTTGCACTTCTTCTTCGGATGACTCTTCCTCCTCAGATTCGACCACGACTTCGGGTTCGGGGCTTTTACCCGTACCAAACATTCGAGCAAAAAAGCTCTTCTTCTGTGGCTGATCAGCCAGCTTCGGTCTGGAGCCCCCCTTTCCGCCTCCGCCTCCGCCACCGCCTTTGGACTTCTTGGGTTTTTCGGGAGGTGTTTCTATAGTGTCTTCTCCGTCGTCTTCTTGTTCATCTTCACTTGATTCGTCCTTACTTGAGCCGTCATCGTCATTCTTTTCGTCTGTATCAGTTGTAGCTTGCTTGCTTTCAGATGGGCTCTCGAAAGTTACTTTGCCTTCTGATGTGGTCTTGCTTTCCGAAGTAACGTCTTCGCTATCTGATGTTCCTTTGCTTTCAGAAGCCTCCTTGCTTTCCGAAGCGTCCTTGCTACTCGGGGTATCTTTGCCACTTGAGCTTTGTTTGCCACTGGAGGAGCTTGGGGTCTCCTTGCCACCTTTGGAACTGTGCTTGCTGTCTGATACATCTTTGCTTTCTGATGCGTCCTTGTTCTCCGAGGCATCTTTGCTTTCTGAACCCTCCTTGGCTGCTTCGTGTTGCGAGGCATGGGAGAGGGGCGAAACGCTTGTGAGAGGCGAAACCATCACCTCTTCGCCCTCCTTCTTGCTACCTGCATCGGATGCTTCTTTGCTGTCAGCATCTGCTCCTTTCTTGCTGCCCGAATCTGATCCTTTCTTGCTACCAGAATCCGATCCTTTCTTGCTACCAGCATCGGATCCTTTTTCGGATCCTTTCTTGCTGGATGCCTCTGATTTGCCTTTGCTGCCAGCATCCGATTTGTCTTTGCTTCCAGCATCAGACTTGTCCTTGCTGCCAGCATCCGATTTGTCCTTACTTCCAGCTTCGGACTTGTCCTTGCTGCCAGCATCAGAACCATCTTTACTCCCAGCATCAGAGCCTTTCTTGCTCCCAGCATCAGATCCTTTACTACTTTTGCTGCTCTTGCTACCGGCATCAGATCCTTTACTGCTTTTGCTGCTCTTGCTCCCAGCATCAGAGCCTTTGCTCCCAGCATCAGATCCTTTACTACTCTTGCTGCTCTTACTTCCTTTGCTGCTTTTACTACTTTTGCTTCCGGCATCGGAGCCTTCCTTGCTACCATCGTCGCTTCCCTTACTGCTCTTGCTGCTTTTGCTGCTCTTGCTACCAGCATCAGAACCCTTGCTTCCAGACTCGGATCCAGAGCCAGACTTCCCGGAAGCACTGGTTTTGGAGCTGGCGCTGCTACCTTTGGAGCTGGCACTTCCTTTGGAACTGGCGCTGGTCTTGGAACTAGCACTACTCTTGGAGCTAGCACTGGTTTTCGAACTAGCGCTACTCCCCTTGGAACTGGCACTGGTTTTGGAACTGGCACTGGTTTTGGAGCTGTGACTGCTGCCACTGCCCCTGGAACTAGCGCTAGTTTTGGATCCACTGGATTTGCTAGACTTGCTGCTACCCGCAGAGCTGGCACTGGCCTTACTCTCCGAGTCGCTGCCCGATCCAGATCTGGAGCTAGCGCTTGCCTTGCTTTCCGAGTCGCTGCCAGACCTGGAGCTGCCCGAGGCACTGGTGGCTTGACTTGCCGAATCGCTGCCACTGCTTTTGCTGCTCCTGCTGCTTTTGGATCCGCTGCTTCCGCTGTTGCTGCTGCTTCCACTGCTTTTGCTGCTTCCACTGTTGCTGCTCTTGCTGCTCGAGTTGGAATCAGAATCACTATCCGACCCCATCTTGGTTGGTTCTTCTTCCAGCCACGAAAGGGCGTCTACTACACCTGAGGTATCAATGTCGTTGCTTGTTCTTCTCTGTTGGGACCAGCCAATTTTTTACACCATTGAAGGGCTTGAGACTAGCAATCTGCAACAGAGAAATGGCGCAGTCTTGTTGCTGGCCATTAGTTTTGGAGGTGTCGGTAGCCGTCAAAGCCACTCTTGTTGATGCCTATTGGTTGCGAGAAAACCGATCTTGGTACGATGCTACACTTGAATGACATTTCCGTGAGTCCCTTGGAGGCAATCTTGTGAACGTTGATTTAGTGGCCAAAAACCAGCAATTTCTGTGCTCTCTCTTTGAGTACCGCACCTTTTTCAGAGGATAAACCCAGTATTAATCAATGAGGATGAGCATAATGTCACAAGGAGCGCTTTCAATTATGTGACTCTTGGTACTTAGGTGGGTCATGCTCTGTGTTCCCTTCTCGCTGATGGACGCGACTGATGACTGAGTGACTCATTCGTGACCAAACTCTCTAGCCGGTAGTCGATGCACATGTTCCGAACCATGATAGCTAGCCCACTTGCTGGACTACGACTGTATCCATCCCATTTCCACAGGTACCCCACTTGCACTCTGCCTGAAAGGGGTTTAGAGTAGGGAAGGTAGTCTACGGTATCTCTGGCTACCTTACGCAAGGAAGAGGCGGAAATTGGGACTAGGTTCCATGGGATCAGGGGTGACAAATTGGCTGAGGACCAAAGGGCTTGACTCGTTTTCGAGAGCCATGGAGACAAGTGAGTGGCTTTGACAAGGGCAACTTGAAATAGCTACTCCGTAGCCAGCTGAGTTGGCCACATGGTGGCAGGCCAGCAAATGCTTGGTACTAATAGTCTGAAGCAATATATATGCCCTGCCATCTCTGCTCTCTTGGAGTAGTCTACAGATCCGGTGAATGTCCTTTTGGCTGTCAGGAGTACTAGTACGGGATATCGGCCTGGTTGTCCTGCTTCTAGTTAGATATGTCTTGGAGGCTGACTTGGAAAACCAGTAGCTTGCTCATTCGAGAAACCTGTACATTCTTGGATTCATTCAATCCACAGCAACCCGGCATTTTCAGTTTTCTATTTTACGCTACTGGTTACAAATGATTGATTCTCTATTTCCATTCCAGGCAACCACTTTCTTTTTCTATCTGTTGGTGCCTTTTTCACTCTCTTTAGTAATAAGCAGCAATAGTATACAATCACCACAAGAAGAACCCCTTGTTATTGTTCTCCATGGCATACGACACACGTCCCATTGGTAAACAAATGGGCCTGACAGGCGACTTCACCACAGAACTTGGCGCCACAGGTTTCACAGGGTCGTTTTCCCCTGGCAAATTGCCGACAAACGGTACAACATCCCATGTCATGTTCGCCCTTGTAATTTCTAAAAATTTCTCTGGGAGATGGTCGACACTTGGCACAGGTTCCATCTTCATAGAGAAAGGATAAACAGGTCGTTTCGTGACAGTATTTGGTGCCGCAATTGGAACAAGGTCGTTTGTTCGTTGAAAAAGTTTGACAAGCTGTACAACACCCAGCATGCGGTGTAATGGGTGGTTCTAGAACGAAATTGGCATGGTCAAATATCCGGCTGGTTCGCTTGGGGGTTGTGGGCGTTCGGGGGGATGGTGGCAGCAGTACCGGTAGTTCTGGTTCTGGTTGTTGACGGTGCTCTTCTTCCTCCTCCTCAGTGTCATTATCATCATGCGGTGATTCCGTCAAGCGAGCAAAGGGTAGAAATGTTCCACACAACGACAAGACTTCTCCTTCTTCTGTTTCGCTCTCTGTGACATCGTCCGTATCGGAATCGCGCAGCAGTGACATGCCCTTTTGACACCTGTATTGTTGGAGTAGTATATCATCGTCGTCGTCCGTGGCAAATGTGGCCGAAAATGGGACATGAAGGGGACCTACGTCTCCTCCACGCTTGGCCGGGCTGTGACTAGTAGTGCTCTGAGGCAGGTCGGCGGCGGGCGGAAAAAAGACGACATCTTCTGATTCTGGCTCCAATTCCAAAATTGGCTCGGATTCCTCCAGCACCACTACTAAACATGGCTCACAGCCTATACAGCATTCTTCCCATCGTTCAGGTCCGTATTTTTGCAGAGAGGAGGGAGCACATGTAGCACAGAATTTGCGGGCGCAACGTTCACATTTCCGTTTCCCATAGGCAGTCACTCCACATTTCCGACAGGAACCCTTTCGCACAAACTCTTCATAGCCTTGGTTTCCCTGGGGCAGCGCTGTCGTTAGCTGCAACGACAGCGATGGTGCGCTGCCAAAGACGTACTCCATCGTGCCCAACACAAAAATAGTTTTAGTGAGAATGTGACGGTAGTTGCGTTCTTGGATGCAAGAAAATTCAAACAGCTTCCCGTTAGCTCACAAGATTGGCAAGTAGACAGTGAAACGGTGGCAACCGAGGAGCACACGTGCGGTGGCGGGGCATCCTCTGAAGTTTCCACTCCCATCACTTACTTATGTCACGGTGAATCGCCAACCACGGAGTTGGCTGGGTTAGAATTTTGTTGTGGTTGTCCTCTTTTTTGGTCCTTTTTGTAGGGTTAGGGTTAGCTGAGTTTGCCTTATGCACCGAATTACGCCTCCTGAGACGACGCACCTTTTGGTTACCCCCTCAGTTGCACTCTGAAATCGATTTGCCGGCGTTTACTGTGTAAATTAGAGTACCCGCACTTCAGTTGCAGAATCAACGGTCATGTGTATCATTAAGTAACAGGTTCTCTTTCGAAATATTTAGATCGATTCGTAAATAAAGGAACCGTTGAAGTTACTAAGGTTAAGGATTTACGAAAGAATCGAGGAACGAATTGTTGAAGGTGCAGCACTGACTTCTCTCCCTCATTGCATTCCTATGGCAAACAGGAGAGAAATCCAAGCTTGGCCGACAAGAGTGGTGGTGTTGGATCGATCGAACGACTGGTACGGTACGAATCAAGAGTGTTATTGAAGGTGCAGATTTGAAAGCCATCCCTCATTGAATTTCTATGGACTGCGGGAAGGCAGTCAGATCTCGGCCGTCAACAGGTGAGTTGTTTTATTTATTCGAGTCGATCGTTCGCACCTCTATTATCTCTATTATCAAGCCTCACTCAAGCCGTCCTTCTGCACTACGCTAAAAGCTAGTGTAAAGATCTTTCGAGTGTTTTGAGTTTGAGAGAATGAAAGTTATAAGAGGATTAGAAAGCTATGAAAACTAATCAACGAGAGAGATCCACAATCAAAGGATCGTAGATCTGAACTCCCGCGGGAGACTGTAAAGTGTGATAGAGTAGGTTGCGGTAGCAATCCTACTCATTCCACGATCAAAAAACGGAACGCGTGGAAGATTCGTCTAGCATTTATCTAGTAGCGTGGAATCTCTCCATGCCAGCTAAATATCTAGCGCGATGTTTCACCATCGACCTAGTATGACTAGCGGTCATGAGAACCCTGTCTCAATGACTATTCACGAAAGACTCAGTCATGAGTCGAACTCAAACCCTATCTAGGATCGAGTCGCGAATAAGGCTAAGAGCCGTGTATTGCATTCCCCCCCTGACAAGGGTCACGGAAGGCACGACATCAATCAGACAAGGAGAACATATGAATTAAAGTGCGGGGCACTCTCCGGAGATTGGATGTAGACATGTGCGTCGCACGATGGCAATCCTACAAGGGGATCAGGCCTTGTATGGTGTAAAACCTTATTTCCAAGTCTGGTAGACTGTGCCGCTATTGGCGGTAGCATGTCGGAGCCGTACAGTGCCATTGTTATTGACTCGGTCTGTGGTAAGGACCTTTGTGCTTTGGCTGACCGTACTTGCGGTGCTGATACTGATGAATCATCAAAGTATCGTTGACTTGTGTTGATGAGGGACACGTGTCGCGTTCTCCTATCATTGTTTTTCTGGATAAGTCGTTGGCGACGTTCCTTGATGTATTTCCAGTTTGCTTCGAAACGGATGTTGTGAATCTTGTCACGATTGACGCGCGTGAACTTGCGACGAAGTCCATGTTCACCCCGGAGAGTCTTCTCGACCTCTGCGCGGACTCACGTCTCTGTCCATGACAACCTCAGCCGGTATGGATACTGGGTAACCACCGTCTGTTTTAGAACGATGGTTGGTGGTTCATTGGTCAATGAATCCACGAAGTTCCTTCCTATTCGTAAGAGGAGCGATAGCTGGATCACATCTATTGTCCTTTAGTTAAGGGTTGGATTCCTTCTCGATAATCCAATGGTCTAGATAATCAAGTTCTTCCTTTCAAGGAAGGCCTTGGTAGTGTTGATTTTAAATCCGACTTTTTGAAGTCTTTGGAAAAATTCATTCTAACTATTCAACGTGATCTACAGATCGCGTCAGTTAGGATGAAGTTGATCATCAATGTATGCACGACATTTTCTAAGTCAATGCATGCGTGTTTTCATCTTCCTCTTTGGAAGATGTCGGGACTATTAGTAGGCCCATGGCAACCTCTGGTACTCGTACTTTCCCACGGGAGTACGATGGTACAGAGTTGCTTCGAGTGAGGTAACAGCTCGATGTGATAGTGTCCCATGTTCAGGTCTAGATAGTAGCGTACTTGAATCCATCTAGATCAAGAGCATGTCCTGTATTTTTGGGATAGGATAAGGCTTCGCTTAATCCTTTTGTCAGTTTCCGGAAATCAGAGATAATCGTACAGATCCATTTCTTGGGAATATAAAAGTTGGTGCCGCCACTCGGAACGTTATCTTTTTAAGTACTCCTGCTTTGCAAAAACGTTCAA